AGTCAAATAAAAGAATCTGAATTGAAATAACTTAATTTCAGTTGTACCCGTACTACTTTTAAGAAGATCGCCCGATTCGCTTGCATTTGAACCTGATCAAACGATGTCGCCCTCGAGGAGTCGATCATATTTACATGCCATAACACTCGGGAAATTTTATACACATAGTTGGCGAGGCTCAAATATCGTGAAGCGATAGTACACTGAACTATAGTTTGTATGGGATTGGTAAAAAAAATGTAGAGGACGGAACAACCCCGATATCAGCAAAATCTTTCAGATGATGAATCAGTTAAGATTATCAAATATATGTCAAGTTTATCCAAATGTACACAATATTTAGATTTTCTGACATTTATAGCATAATTAATTTTAGTTTCACACTTTACTTTTTATAGTTCTAAATCATTAGTTTGGTGAGAATAATAAACCTACGCCACTGATACATGGCACCTGTTCACACCAACATACATGCGCTGAGAAAAAATATCTCGCACCTGCACGTGCAGAGACAGACACACCAAACCACAATGTTGGCTAGCTTATCTGAATGTATCAACACCATCAAAGGGCGTTATCGCAAAATGTAGATATTTCATGACACATAAATTACTTGGTTAGCATCACATTAGATAGAACAACCCATTATATAGCGCGAAACAAATTATACCAATAAACAGTGGCTTCTTTACCGAATATACACTCGAAAACAGTACGTTCAGTGGAAGAGTCTCAAATTGAATAAATTGGATAAAATTGCTCGGATATTGTAAAAGCTCGATATTGTCCCAGGCTTGATATCTGAGCGACAATAGCCTTGGAAAGAATGTAGCTATATCCCATCTTCAAGCTATTGTAAACTTCGTCTTATACCTTGACTACAAAAGCCATAATCTTGTATGGAATGATTTTATTGTATTGCACGCTAGGGAATAAGCCAATCAGAGCTCTATAGAAATATTGTCTATTATTGTGCTATTCTGTAAGATAGACCAGAAGTTATATCAAATTCATTGTGTACATTGTACGCTTCCATGTACCGAAATGGTCGCGGGATTACACCTTTAATTTAATCTATATAAGCCATCTAATTTATCTTTATATATAGTGGGTTCTTCACCCTATAATGTTTTATATAATAATTTGTCAAACACAACTAACTTTAGCTTTCATTCGTTCCAAATTCTCTGATAACTTTAACTATGAGTTATTATCCAATTATTTCAATTAATGTTGAGACCAAAAATTGGCCTGAAGAAAATGAAACTTGGCCTTCGAGAAACGTATTACGATCAAATTATAGTGAACCCTTCGAAAAGATGTATAGGGCTGATAAACCCACTGGAATAGTGATATCGGGTGTGTCTGAGAATACCGTAGATAGTCCATACTTACCCATTCAGCATATTTTAGAGAATTTCCATATGCTCCCATACCCTTTTTATGGCCCAGTCCGCCCGTTTAAAGGATTGTAAAGATTTTTTTAATTTTTAGTGGAAGTGCAGGAACCACAGAGGACTGATTGAACATTGAAATGGTGCAAATTGATTCTATCAGTGTCCCATAAATTTTTGAAAGAAAACCTCTTTACATTCCCTTTAAGGTTCTTATAAGGAGTTGCGAGCTTGTTAATAGACAGATATCTCGATAAACTTTTCTACGGAGTTGAATTTCTCACAGAAAATGAAATTGACAGACATTTTGATATAATTATACAAGTCTATAACAATCCGCCCATCTTTTCATCAATCCAGCCTGGGTGGGGTTGTTTGTTTAAATCTAGATTCAAAATAAAACGCATGTTAACACAAATAATGGTTAAAATGTGGAATGCGAAAAGCATCAAGGGTGCTACTGTTTCCAAATAATTATGCGTCCACGTGCTTCTCGGCACGTCCTTATCAAAATGTTAAAGATAAGAAAAAGAGAAAAATGAAGTTGAGATTATCATAGAAACACTAAAACCTTTTATTTCGTGTAAGAAAAAGTGGAAACCGTCATTTTTTGAAAATAGATAGAATATGATAAAACATGAAATAACATGTTATCGTTCTATATCTCTTTAACTCAAATTTGAGATAATTCTTGCCTTTTCTTATTACTGAGTAATCAGGTTCAGAGAGTCGTGCTAGATGCAAAATTTAACTTTAAACTTAAGCGCACTTGTATATTTTGAAACTTCCATTTGTACCAAACACAATTTACGTAGGAAAAGAATTGTAGGCTAGGTCTTAAACAATCGAAACCAAGTTTCTCTATAAACGGAATTTCAAATTGCCAATGACACAGATCTCAATATTGAAGAACAATTAAAGATGGGTTCCCTTCTTTTTTTCATTTTTGCTAATACTTACATGAATATAAATTAGAGGAGTTCTAATGACTTCGAAAAATACCAGTTTGTCTCACATGCCCATAATTAATTCACAGAAAATTATAGAAGAGAATTACCCGCAGAATTCCAATGAGTGACCGATCAAGAAAGGTCAAAAAATCTCTTTTGGTTTATCCAGACTGTATACATACATGGACATTTATGATTGGTTAAAACTCTTTATTATATGCAATAAGAACATAATGATATGAGTAAGAATATACGATAATTCATAAGAAGCACCATTTAATCAAATAGTTTGCTTAATTTGACACTACAAAATAAGGAAATCCATCTTTAAGGCTGCGTTTAGGAATAACAAAGGGAGATAATCGTCGTACTCGTTATTTTGCCTCCTAAAATGGAAACAATTTATTTCTACTTTGCATGACAAACTGGATACAACGACTTGCGAACATGACGATCTTTCCTCATAGTACCGGACGACCCAGCTGTAAATGGCAAGGGCGAGGCTGTCGATACCTAGGTGGGAACCTAAGTTGTAATTGTTGCAAAAATATAGACGTTTCTCCCCCTTTGTCGTTTAGAATGTTCTGTTCCTAGAACACAGGAGCTAAATAAATAAATTGTTAAACTGGAATTTGTTTACATTAAGATGTTACCACCTTTCATCGTTTATAAGTTTTATCAATATACAATATAAACATTGTTTTGTTGGTAATATTCTTGCTTTGTAATCTGACAAATCAACTTCTTTTAAATACTTGTAAACGCATTCATGCCTAGCTATATAGTTGATATTGCTCCAATGAAATATGCGATAAATGGTTTGTAATGGCAATTTAGAGGATCTCCAAGGATGATCCCCTTACTTTGCTATTCTTTTATTTCACATAACAGCGAAGTGAAGGATGAACAATAGGATGATTATCATAATTTTGTACAATAACATTGATATGCAAAGGTTGCACGCGCATGGCCTTGCAGACGTGAAATAAAAACACTCGTTAGTTTTCATGGTTCGCGCTCTACGGCCTAAGTCGTTTGTCAAACGTTAATGGAATGATCGTTTTCTTGTGCTTCGGTTCAAAAGTCACTTGATCTTGAGATGAGGCACACGTGCAGACATGTTGAAAATGTCGTCTGTTAATTGCTAATGTCGTCTGCTTTGGATCATGACGACAAATTCTTTTATTATCAGATTAGAAGTTGAACAGGATTTACAGCTTCCGGATGCATATCAGTGAAAGGAAATTAATTAAATCTTTGATCTTAAGATAAATATTAAGAACGTTGAGGATCTAGTTTTATGTCAACATTAAATAAGGAAAAATATAGACAAATCCTGAAGAAAGTCTAATCGGTTCCATTGATACAAAGGTCGAAATAACATAATCCGGTAATAATGTATATAATGCGATTACAATAATGACCGTATAATATCGTAACTTTCTATTTCAAGTAGATAGTATACCAACGTATTAACATATTTAGTTAACATAAGTTAGCTGATCAAAATTATTTCGTTAGAGAAGTGGGGGTGGGCCGGGAGTCCTAAATTGTTACACGCCTTTGTGGACATCTCAAAAACTTAGTGTCAGTTAGATAAGAATCTATCCAGAGATCTTCCTTCTCTTCACTTCATCTGTTAAATAGCCCATACCTCTACGAGAATTCAAATTGATGAACGATGTACCCAAAGATGCTCTGGAATTGGATATTCCACCTAGGGACCCTTGCACGGCAGTTATGTTATTGTGCAAAGTTTCATTTTGAGATTACTCCGACTGATATTTCGTCAGCAATTACTCGTATTCAAGAATAACACTGATATTTTGTCAAATGGGCGGAAACCAAGAAATAAGATGTACCAAGTACATGATAACATTGTTACTTCCGGTTTCAGGAAGAAACCAAGAAAGTCCTTTTAAACCGAGTCACAATTTGACACAGTTCATTTATGTTGATAGCCTAAATTGGTCATAGGCTTGTCAGTAGTTCTGTGTGAATGACAGGCCTACGTTGAAACCGTAACTCAGTCAAGTAGTCATATATATGCACAGTGCGTCGATTGAAAACTGGAGGTATTTAATGCATCCAGAAATGCATTGCACTATTAATTGTTTTTTTTTTCATCTAAAATTGTGTGTACTCGTAGCGTACCACGTTTTTTTCCTGGTAAGATGATGTGAATATTGCAACTCTTTGCTGTCGTATGTGTGAGGTTACTTGAGTGATGGGAAACTTTTTTTCATTTCAGTTGGGCAAAATGAAGGTCGGTAGCCCTAATGTCATCATCAAGACAGATTCCAAAACCAACATGAAGACAGTCGATGATAAAGCATCAGATATAACAGACGACAATGGTTATGATGATTTTAGATACTTATCTTCAGCTACTATTGACAGTGTTGAAGAAGATGCCTTGAGAAGAGATTTGGAAGAGGCAGACGACAACGTATTTTCATCGGACGTCAATATTTCAGAAACAAAAGATACTGGATATATCTGTCTACAATCTATACTACCACCAAGATCTGCCATATTGAATTCCAGTCCTGCTGTTCTCGGGACACATATTTTAGACTTTCCCGCTTCGCGTATCTCTCGCAGACGATTTAATAGTTCTGTTACACATATTCCACCTGTTCGGAAACATACAGTGCGTCGTATATTTACAAATGGTCGCGAAAGATGGAGACAGCAGAACGTTAACGGTGCATTTGCAGAGTTACGGAAATTGGTTCCAAGCCATCCTCCTGACAAGAAACTTAGTAAAAACGAAATACTCCGAATGTCAATAAAATATATCAAACTTTTAAACAAAGTTCTCGAATTCCAGAAACAAAATGGCTTTGAACGACCGGACAATAGTGAAAGTTCAAACTGTCTCTCTATATCAATGGATTCTTTGGATCAGGTTAGTAACGTACATCGTCATTCCTTTGTGGACGATTCACTCTCTCCTACGTCTTCGGCGTGTAGTTTTGAGGAGGACGGTGGTGATATCGTGAATTGTGAAATGGAATCAGAGTAGTAAGACTTATCGGAACGGAAGAATTTAAATTATTTATTTTGTGCCATGAAATAATGCATTTAATGATATATAAATATATTAAAGAATTGTTGTTCTGTTCTGTTTGTGTTGCATCATTGATAAACTACAACCAGGAGTTCATATAATGTTCACTCTCTTCATTGGAGTATAATAATATAATGGTGAGGCTTTGACATCTTTACAATCGTGACCACTCGGACGATGCACCTTTGGTTGTATGGTGTAAAGGCAAAAGGGCCTTGATCACCGGCTAACGCATGTTGTTTTGCGAATAATAATAGCATTGTTATCCTCTCGAAAACTGGTGGTCGTGGTTGCAAAGGCGGGAGGGGGTATTATGTGACTAAAATGTTAGATGATGTTTATCGTTTATGATAATTAGTATTTTCGGTTTATTCTTTTGATGTCTCATGCAAATTCACGCAGTATTGGAATTAATCGACCAATTATATTATTGGCCCCTTAGACCGAAGCATCTGCCTTCATTCCAACCTCTGATAGATATTTCGACAACTGTCAAAATAGCTATCGCAGAGGCTGTAATAAAGGTAGATGTAAGTCTCTTTAAAAAGAAATTGCCATATAGATAACAGTATTATTTTCACTCAATTTAATTTCCTAAAGAAATAATCACGGCAATAAATATTAAATCGAAAAGTCTGAAATGAATTCAAATATAACGATTGCAAATTTATTTCTAATATCACGGTTAATCGATTTCGATTCTCTATCTGATCAACTGTCAATCATTTTAACAATTACCCGCCTCCTAATTCTCTTATCGACACTAGCCACTCGGTGATAATTCTTTGATTTTATTTGAACAGGAAACATATTAGTTTTAATCCTTATAGAATGTCGTCATTCACGTACACACGACAGATTATCTTAGACTGATTCTCATCATCAAATTCAATTTCATACGAGAATTGCTTTAATCCCACACATTCATTACTAAATCATATTTAAATAGACAGTGTCTCATTGTCAGTGAATCAGAGAGCCGATTAGACCCCAAAACATTAAACTAAAAGACGATAGTTCAGAAATTTGAAAATGAACACACATTGGATAATATATAGCCTCATAATATTACTTGTATATTGAAAGAGCAACAATTTTTTTTTTGTAAAAGAGACTGTAAAGAATTTGTAGAGATTTACTAACCTTTTTTTTATGAATTGGAGACTACAATGATAGCAACCATTATCAAGTCAAAATATCATGCTAGCTTTAAAGTAAGATCATCTGCAGTCGAACAGTCATATATGCTCAGCACTTAAACAAGCATAAGCTTTATCCTTTATCCAGTTGGCTCAGGATACCAGAAAAGTCAGTACAAAATACCCCATCTTGTCTCAGTAATACTTTCATAAAAGGGTATCTTAGTTTAACTCTGATTATATCATACAATTCAGTAACTGCATAAAGTGCTCAGGTGGCAGAGGGCAGTACCATAAGACCATTCTGTTATGCCAATGGTGCTACCATACCAGTAAGAAGCCCGGCTAAACATCTCGGGATGTCATGACTGCATTTTCATGACTGCATCAGGCACTTAGGTACCATTCTGTCTCAGTGATATCTTAAGAATAACTCTTAACGTATTATATCACACAATTTTATACCGGTGTATAGTGGCAAAAGGTAATACAAGAGAACCATTTTAACAGGCCAATGGTGATATCATACCAGTACGAAGCACGGCTAAACTGCTCGGGATATCATGACTGCATTTTCGTGACTGCACCAGGCACTTAGTAGTTAAATACCAAAGTACCATTCAGTCTCATCAATATCGTCATAAAAGAGTATTATCTTCATTACTCTTAGCCTGCTATATCACACAATTTTATACCTGCGTAGTGGCAAAAGGTAATACCGCAGTACCATTCTGCTGTCAGGCCAATGGTGATGTACCAGTAAAAAGCTCTGGATAAAATGACTGCACTAAATGTTCAGACAAAAGTTTTTAGGTGCAAATCACTAACATCTAATTACACAAGTAAAACATCGAATTCCCAATTATTTCGTTAATGTTATCATATTATTTCTTAATGTTATCATATCTTTCAATTACGCTACTTTCATAGAAAAAAAACTCCATCTTTTTATGTGCCAGACGTTCGGCTGCTTCTCGCATTTATCTTAAGTTTAACAAAATAATTTGGCTTCTGAAATATGCAACACTTATGTCATTTGAAATGAATTGAAATGATTAAGTTATCAATTGGTGAAAGACAAGTGTTTTAAGTCAAGGGTATACTTAAGTAGAAGTTTCTCAGACCTGTCATATAAAGTGGATATTCTCTGCATCAAAATAGAAAGAAAGTAGTAAATAAAAACACTAAAGTTTCGAATACTTAACCAATATGCTTTAAAGCGGGGTTAGTATTAAATCCTCATTATTTCCCATGACGTCATGATCATGACTTTAAGGCAGTGGTTAACAACCTTTTTCACTCCTGGAGCAATCACCTGGACCTTTCACACCCCAAAAATTTGTTTCATCCACATTTCCAGCATGTGATGATGTTAGGTGCTCTCTCAATTCAAATAAATTCTTTCTACTACAACAGTTGGCCACTCCCCTGACACCCTAGTCCTACATCCCCAGGGCTTAAAAACACCCCTGGTTTGGGAACAGTGTGTTTAAGGTAAGTGACGAAATTATAAACATCCATGGAACGTTTTTTTTTGATTCAAAGAGAATCTAACGTTTGTTTTTGGAATTCGGATAGCTTGAATTCAGCTCTATCAGATGGTAAAGAAAATATAAAGATGATTATACCTTTCAGTAGTTTAGTCCAATAAAAAGGAATAATAGCTATTTATATGTTGCAGTTTATGTGTTAAAACATGAAGTATTCATTTCTCAAATCTATATCGAGTGCAGCTTTTGAGGAGAGCAATGTATACTTTGTCCTGGACAGAATAAAGCAGTCGTATATACGTATTTAAAGGGACAGATGCCCCTTTTAAGACCAATCAAACCTTAGTCTCAGAAACAAGAATTGTTAAGTGCCAATCAGTAATAGTATTCGCAGCTAACCGTCGAAATTTGAGCCTTCAAATCCATGTTTGTCCAGAATTATCTACGTTTGAAAGTTAAAAAGACGAGTCGTCTTTTCTTGAGACACTGCCAAATATAGAAAAGACATCTATAGATATAGGAAAAGAAATTCCTAGTTTGAGATAATTTGAGACTCAAATCCCCCCACCCAAAAAATAAAAAATAAAAATAAAACGTCGACACTATGGTCTAGAAATTTCTGAATAATCCTGATAACTTAATCATTATCTGATGTCATAAGCTGAATTTGAAGCTATTCACAATTTGACATAATAATAATATTTTTTTAATTTCTTAACACAGATTACTAAGGTCACCAAAAGAATGTCTGAATATGGTGCTCATCACTAAAAGAAACTGGACCTGGAAATACGAGGCCCACCATTCCCAGATTCCCCCTATATTGTGTTTATATTGTTGACGTTTTGAGGTAAGTACAATGTACAAGTTTATTATTATTTCAAAGGTTAATATTATCAGGCTGCTGTATGGATACTATTGATGTCTTTATAAGTAACCCTTCAGATGCCATTGAAATTGGTGCTTTGTTGACAAGGCTTTCTGAACTGTGGTACTTTGAAAGACAATATATACTGGTAGGGGAAATATGGGCACAGTAGGAACATCACATGTGATGTTTGTGGGTATATTTATATCAAACATGTTAGCCGAACTATACATGATAAATAGGTTATTATCATAAACTATGTTTTATTTTATAGGTTGTGTTGGCAGCATTGTTCTTGTCTATTTCAAATGAGCTAAAGAGAATTGTTCTAAGAAATTAATGTGTTTTACTTAGAATTAACTTATTGTTATGCTTAGAAATTACTAATTGCAATGCTTAGAAATTACTAATTGCAATGCTTAGAAATTACTGTGTTCTGCTTAGAATTAACTTATTGTTATGCTTAGAAATTACTAGTTGTAATGCTTAGAAATTACTAATTGCAATGCTTAGAAATTACTGTGTTATGCTTAGAATTAACTTATTGTTATGCTTAGAAATTACTAGTTGTAATGCTTAGAAATTACTAATTGCAATGCTTAGAAATTACTGTGTTATGCTTAGAATTAACTTATTGTTATGCTCAGAAATTATGAATTGCAATGCTTAGAAATTAATGTGTTATGCTTAGAATTAACTTATTGTTATGCTTAGAAATTACTAGTTGCAATGCTTAGAAATTACTGTGTTATGCTTAAAAAGTTTCTAAGAAATTGATTTGATATGCTTAGAAGTTACTTATCATTATGCCCTGAAATGACTGTGTTTAGCTTAGACAGTAGGTAACTATGTTATGCTCAGAAAATATGCTTAGAAAGTAGGTAACTATGTAATTTTTGAAAATATGCTTAGCAATTACTGTGTTATTTTTGAAAATTGTTCTTAGAAATTACTGTGTTATGCTTAGAAATTATGCATAGAAATTACTGTGTTATTTTAAAAGAATATATGCTTAGAAATTACTACATTATTTTGAGAAGATTGTATGCTTAGAAATTTCTATGTTATGCCTAGAAATTAGTGATACATGGACCTTACTTTTATAAGCTATGAAGTTTAGGTTTTAGTGTTTTATTTTGATTTGGGATTTTTATATTAACTTTCAAAACAGATATGAAATTCCACATTTTCAAGTAGCTTTGTTTTTAAATATTAAAAAAATAGAAACAAAATTTCATTCTTTTAGTTATTTTATAATCTAATACATTCTATTCTACATGTCTACCAATTATTGAATGTTTTCATGTATATCTTATTTTCATTAAAATTTTTCATGGGAGCCTGGCTCTAACTAGGTCCCCTAGTTAATATGCATAACTTTATAGAAATATTTCAGTCAGTATTCTCAATATATTGACCTCATATTATTTTTGGTTCAAGATCCCTCGACAGTTGGAAATTTAAAAAGAGTATGTTAATGTTGCTGTCCTGGCAAATTTCCCTCATTGCACACTGCATGTTGTTGAATGATTTCATTAGGTAAAGAAGAGAAGGACGTAAAACTCCATTCATTTCATTTTTATTTTTTGTGTTGAATTTTAAACTTGCAACCCTTTTACCATGTTTAATTTTAAAAATTTTATACTAGTCTTTTTTCAATTTGCATTTCTTCAAATGTATATGTATATCTATTCAATTAAAGTGATACTATGTCTTTAAGTTCTCAAGAATGTTCAATATGAGTATATATTCATCAGTGAATTTACCTGATGTCATAAAGTTACAACAGAATCCTTGTAAAATCTGGAAAATTCATAAAACTAAATAAGTATTGAAAAACACTTAATCTTAATATTAGGCATTTTTCAATAGTTAATTGCATATTTATGGATAATTGCTAAGTTTTTTGGATTTATTGGATTATATAAGGATACTGTTATGTTATTTATAACACCAGGTATATCTACTAATATATGAACTTATTGGCCAAGTTTAAAATTCTTAAATTTTATGTTCATTCTAAGACGTAGTTTTCCTTGCATGCTTATTTAAGTGCCATTATGTATTTTTATATTGCATTAATTACATAAATAGTTTATTTTGCTTTATATAAATAGTTTTTTTTATATTTTTCCCCAACTAACATCTATTTTGATGTATTTCCTGTATGACTGCAAAATTGACATATGTCTGTTTCGCTTGGAAATACTTATATCAAGACTAAGCAAAGAAATTTGAATTATAAAGTAAAAACACCCCTTTGGGCTTCAAATGAATCTGGCCCAACCTAACACCCCTCTTCCTGTTAGAACAATAGACTAGTCCAATATCAACTCACTAATCAGGTCAATGACCTAATTAAGTGAGTGATTTGTGAACATTTACTCAGCTGAGTGAGTTGATTTTCGAGAAGAGCTCACTAATTTTTCAAATTATTTTGCAATTTTTGAAAAGCAGGTGAGCTGTTGTGAGTACTACTCACTACTACTCACTACATTTCCAGTTTAAATTGACAATTTTGAAACTTTGTGAGTAGATTTCGAAATCTACTCAGCTGAGTGAACTGTTTTTAGAACTCTACTCAGCCAAGTCATAATTTTTCATAAATTGGTGAACTGTTAGTGAGTGATGTTGAGTAGTGCTCACTAGAGCTCACAAATTTCCAAATTATTTCAAAAAGTTTGGAAAATCGGTGAACTGTTTTCGAAGTCTACTCACTCTACTGAGTACCTACTCATAAATCACTCACTTAATCAGGTCATGACCTTGATTTGTGAGTTGTGCTCGGACTGATTACTGTGTTCAGAAGTGTCTATTCAATCTTCAAGGGGTGTTAGGTTGGAATGGGTTATTTTATTTCCAAGGGATGTAGGTTTGGAAGGGGTCATTTCATTTTCAAGGGATGTAGAGTTGGAAGGGTTGTTTTCATTTCAAGGGATGTTGGGTTGGGAAAGGTTTATTTTCATCCAAGGGATGGCAACTTAGGAACTTCAGTAGTAATTTTGATCTCCCTTTAAATAAAATACTTTGATCCAGATCCATTACTTAGTCAAATTTAAAGGTGAAACTGCAGACAATTATCATATTCTGTAATTTTCAAACTTGGAAAAATACATTCCATTTCGCATTGCCCACTGCATGGAGTTACCATTCTCAAATCCAAAATCCATGTCACAAACAAAAGGAGACTTGAATAGAAATGGTCACAATTTTTCTGCAAGTAGGGGTACAAATGCTCCAAACACTGAAGGCAAGTCTAGTAATTACGGTACTTTTGGTAAGACATACGAAACTATGTATGGTTCTTACATGGAAAATAACACATAGAGTAGAAATAACACACACAAAAGTAGTTCACAACAAATTTGAATATGTTATTTCCATTTAAGAGCAATAAGTAGTTCAGCATGGACATTCCAGTAATCAGCCCAATGGGTTTCAAAAATATAACCATTAATAAAACATTATGTTAAGATAAATAATTGTATTTTCCATGCTACATACAACTCTTACAACAATAAAATACAGAAGGTGAAAATGGCCATAATTTGGTTTAACAATTTCTATTTAACATAAATTAAGCTTTCATTATATTAACTTAAAGCTTTCAATTAAACTTTGACTGAAGGAATAATTATCAGACAATAGTTTATTCACTACAAACATGCCTTTCTTTGATGTTTTTAAGAAATAAACTTTTTAAAAAGTGTGTTCTAGGAAACCCATGGTCTATTATCAACAATTTGTTGTTATACTATACTTGAATAACTCAATAAGAAAGTCAAAGAGAATCTTAGAGGAAAGTAGGCGGAGCTTAGTTATGCTACAATCAGTTAATTTTGATGTTATTGCATGACTGAAGCTCCATCCCTTTTCTTTAACAAACTCGTGACTTGAGCCTACCTACAAGAAAGTCAAGCAAAGTTTGAACAGGAATTTCAACAAAATTTTGTTTAAGGGTAGATAATAGAAATTACATAAGCTGGTCCTAAAGTGTGTTCATTACTACTTAATCTACCTAAAAAATAAAAAGTGGACTATTCATTTTTATATTTGAATAATATATGTATGATCTTAACCTCATGCATTTTAAACTCAGAAATGAAATGAAATGAAATGAATGGAGTTTTACGTCCTACTTTACTGCACAATGTAGTTTTAAACACAGAACAAATAGGCTTTACATTAAAATTCATAAAATTACTAATAAATAATAATCAAGCACTTCATTTGGACGAGTATCTGTTAGTGTATCACAAGTCATATAATATACAGCTACAAATAAGAATTCGGAGGGTAAATGTAAAGCCATGACACAGTTTCAAATTAACAAAACTGTCTATTATAGAGATATAGAGAGCAAATAATAGGTTTAATCCTTCAATAACAACTCCCTCTATTATACAATCAACTTTAATATATTATGTTTTTATATTATATATCTCTCTATACAATACTATACAAGTTATGATGCTTTTACCATGGTATATTTTCAAGACGTTTTGAATTTTGATTTCAGAAGTCACTCTACTGAAGAACCACAAGATAATAAAAAAACTATACTAATATTAAACCTACATTCAGAAACTTTCAAATGTAGGTAAATATCTTAAAACCTCTTATATGTCTGTGTGTTTCTTTATTTTATGTGAAACATACCTAAGAAAGCATATTAATAATTATAAATCCCAAAATATAGAATAACCCCTATCTATATATATATATTATTATGATAAACTTTGCACCAATTGAAAGAATATATATATTTATCTGAATACCATATATATAATAATAAACCACCCTCCATTTTCAATATATGTAACAATTAGACTATTAAAATACCAACAATTTTATTCATTATATTGTATAATACCAAATGTTTATTAGTAGGTCTTTAAATGTTAAAGGGATATAATTATTCACATTACAGAAAAAATCTAGTACGTCTGCAATTAAATAAATTAATTTCTCTGAATTTTTCACACCTAATATGACATTCATTTTCTAGAATTGAACTCTCTTGTTAGACAAAATGTTAGATGAATGCCTCCCTTTATGATAAATGAATGTGAAAATATTTTTGGAATGTGAAGATCAGCACTATTTCTGTTTTACTGACTACAGCCTACATGACATTTACAACAGATTTCCATTTTATTTTATTTCAAAATATGCTTGAAACATTATCATAAGCAATGAAACTCTTTAATCTATATACATCTATTAAATGCATACAAGCTCAAAAATATGCCCTCAAGTAAAACTATATACAATGTATAATATACACAACATATTATACAATTACTTAAATTACTAAAATACAAATTATTATAAACAATGGTATTATAATGAATTAATATAAACCCAATGTAATTATCAAATAAGTTTCATAATGGTATTATGGATAATTTTTAATCTTAAATTCATATTTTTTTTGAGAGAGAGAGAGCAAAAAAGAATCAGCTAGCATTAGAGTTATCTACCATTACAGTCAGACACAAACAAAAATAATGAATGAAAATAAAAAATCTTTCGAAATTACCCTGTAGACAAACAAATTATCTACTGAACGTGTCACTAAATTGTAACATTAAAAAATTAGTAAGCAACCAATCAAAGCAGACGTCTGCAGGTCAGTTCCCTCACGTGAAAGTTAAACAGACTTGAAGATTAAAGAAATAATAAATAACGTGATATATATAGAGATAATGACAAGTTATGCCTCTGTTATATTAAAGGTAGGAGCTATTCGTAACAAAAATTTCTTCAATATTGATCGAAGTTCTAATTTTAAATCAAACATTATGACTTCACATAATAATGGATAATATACAGCTGCATGGACACGGAACTGAAATAAACAAAAATGTTTTTGTTATCAGACCAACTAATTACAATATTCATTAATAGAAGTATATGGTATTTTTCTTTATGCTCAGTTCACACCCACGGCGCTTTGATGGCGCTTTAAAGCGGCGTACAAAGCGGTACCAAAGCGTAACAAAGCTCGACTAAAGCGCCAGGGTCGTAATAGATCGTTGGAAAGCTTTGAGCAAAGCTGGATATTCGACAAGAGCGCCAAAATTTTTTAAACTGTTTAAAAATTTTGGGCGCTCTGTCACGAATTAATTAAAGCACCAAGAACGTATCAAAGCTTAACAAAGCGTAACTAAGTTCAGCAAAGCTTGACTCAAAGCGTAGGAAAGCTTAACAGAGCTTTATTCAAAGCGGGGACCCCAGTCTTCACGGTCTGTCATCACTTGATCAAGAGCGGCATGAAATCGGCCATTTCGAAATTTTCCAATGCGTAATAGAGCTTAACAATGCTCAACAGAGCTTGATAATCGTATCAGAGCGTGATTTAAAGTGTCATAACCGCATCAAAGCTTAATAAAGTTTATCAAAGCGTGATCAAATCGGGAAATAATTCGTCCCCAAAGCGTAACCAATTCGTATCAGAGCTATCAGAGCGTAACATTACTTAGGGGATCGTGATATTTTTTGAAAAGTAAACAAAAAATGATTGCGCTTTGGTCGCCGATTTAAAGTGCGGCATTCGCCGTTGGTGTGAACTAGGCATTAATGAACAATTCTGCTATGTCATGTTTTGTATCAGAGTAGCTACTTAAGGATGATTTCTGCCATATAGGTCCTTTTTCACTTGCAAAAGTAAGTCTGAAGTCAATTACAGGGATGTTGTTTTGTTGTTGTTGAAGATCTCTATGTCAATCTTAGACCAAAGACATGATATTTGTAATATGCTTTCATATGAAAAAAACTCCCATCCACTGAGTTTGATTACAAGTAAATTGAAATGTTAACCTCCAGTTCAGTCCTGATAACAATTTTCTTTCCAAAACCTGTGTCTGCATGAAATATGCCATGGTTAATATGCATTTATTCCAAAGTATTGTACCTACCCTTTCATCAGACATTTTAAGTAAGCGAGTCAATAATAATAACATTAAACTACTCCATGCTTCACGATGACTGTCAGATTGTAAAGATAGAAAATATTCTAAGGCATCTCGACAAACTCTAAAATAATAATACATTTATCATTAAACATTTGAATACAATAACAAAATCTTTTCATAGTTAAAAAAGTGCTCAATATGTCAATTGCAAAGCGATATAGAAATAATAAAACAGAACCTGAAGATCACACAGCGTGAAACTCTTTTAATTTTTCTGTAAAACCATCAAATATACAGATTCTGTTGGTGATATCAAACATAATAGTCATATCCCTTATCACAACCCCATTATTTCCATTTTCAATTTTAAGAACTTAATCAGAGTAGACATTAATGCACTAATATGAAACAGGGAATTGATCAGAAAGTTCCCTATAAAAAAACAGCAGCCATTTTAAATATTGCAGTATAAGCTGAAATTTTTATTGACAAGTCACATATTAATGCAGGCATACATCCTATATTTTCCAAAATTGAAATTAATAAAAATATTTGACACTAACTTACCCTAGAAGTTTTTTCTCTATGTCTGGCCAGGCATCTTGTCTAGAGTCATCATTATACATACGGAATAATATACGGAACAAACATGCTAAACTTTGTGTTTCTTGTTTTAACAAGTTTGGTTTAGCTTTACCCTTAAAACCTGAAATCAAATTAAACTATGTCAGGTAGGTGAAGATAAATTAATTTATTGCAAAAAGAATCGTGACCATTTGGTTTGCAAATTAAACTGTGACCCTTTTAGTTTTAAAAGAAACACTTTCTAAAAGATAATGTAACTTGAGTTATGTTTGTGAGGTTCTATAGCACAGTCGAATAGAGCATTGGTTCTTAACATGACATCATTTGCTTTGGCTGTGGGTTCCAATCTTGATCGGCGTGTGAACGTCTGATAACCTTGTTTAAGTCATCTTCACTCATAATTTCAGTCGACCCAGCTGTAAATGGGTACGGATAATCCAGGAAAGATCAATGCCAAGAGGTTTAGCCAAGGACCAGCTGGTGGAAAGGATCTTTAACTGTGAACCTAAGTTGTTATCCTTGTAAAATATAGTTGTTTCTGTCTTTCTATGCTATAAGCAATTATGGTTTGGGTGTTAAATTCTAAAAATTTAGACGAAAAAGATAACTTGCCAGCAGCTAGAAAAGAATTTTAACCAACCTGCTTTCCATAAGACATTTCGCTGTTCATGATTTGAGTTGAATTTTTTGGCAAAGTGATGTGACTCTAATAAACAGTCCACTAGATGTATGAGTTGGGCTGAATTTAAGAACTGGTACATTCCTTGATCTTCATGTTGTTGACCAGAATCATACATATAGTACGGTACTTCTTCTTTACCAGCCTGGAAAATAAAATAATACTTGACTTACAACAGGGCATACTCACATCTTTAGACACCAGGGTAGCATACGATTGGAGAGGTCTGATCAGGTTCTGTTGGTTCCATTCTAATCTCAATTGAATGTTACAGAAGCAGAATGTGTCACATTCAAAATCTTCCCATTTATTTCCTTCTGGGCCATTTTGAATTCTGTCTGCACCTACTATTCTTCCGCAATTTTATAACGTGTTCTGAACTCTGTTCCAACTTGTTTTATTCAAGTGGACATTCAGTTGATTCCATTAATGACGACAAGCAGAACTCACTAATCAAGCAACCCAAAAATGTCACTGATTGGGTTGTCAACATTTTTTAGAGGGGCCATATTTGTGTATTAAAGACACCGATTAATGGATGCTTAAAATTTGGTTCTTAGAATCATTTGTGAGAAACAACATATTCTCTTCTCTATGAACAGAGGACAGTTGGAGTATGTCTAATGGGGTTAAACTGCAAACAGTTTGACATCCTGACAAACTCACTGAACAGGAGTAATAACTACTACTGAGAGAATATTACCTGAGCTAAAGCTAAATTCTCAGCATCTTCCTTCTTACTGGTAGTAGGAAAGAAAACTATATTGTCTATTGTTTGTATTAATTCTAGTTGTACCACACATTTAATTAATAATCCTTGAAATAACTTGATATCAGATGAGATCTCTACAAAATAATACATAATTCTTAATACAAAATATTTCAACCCAATAGATTGATCAGGCTCTTGCAAGCTATCCTACTGGTCCATAGTTTGATATCTTTTAGATAAAGATGAAAAGTTCAGATCGTCAACTCAGATCCCTCGACATTCGAGTCAAACTGATAGACATGGAAAAAGCCTCTAGTACTTTGGAGACATAAAACCAAGATACAATTTTCCACAGCTTCCAATCTGCAGTCAATAGTTTTTGATTCGTATATATTATTCCTTTGAATGCATAGTACGTTCATCATCCAGAAAACTTGATGCCATTCAGAAGCCCAAATCATCAACTCAAGATACCTCTGCATGAATGGAGAACAAATGCATATAGCCTATTTTTAAGAGATCATTTCATGGTGTCTCCACATGTTTCAGATATACAATCTTCATCAGGAGAAACCACAATAAGGATACATCAATTGAAGGCAAGGTAACTTACTCGAACGAGGTATTTTCTGATCACGAGAGTCAACTGATACAGTACTATTAATACTAATAGAACTATCAGCACGTTTTAATTTATTAGTATCCATACTAGAATCTACTGAATTAATAGATTTATCATCCTATAATACAAAATATAATCATTTTCACTATAGTCAATAAATAATAAATATAATATATTCACTGTTAAAATACATCAATTGTAGACCGATATAGAAATATAAATTGAATAAAACAGAACTTGAATCATGTTGTTACTCAGAGTTTCACGCTATGTGATCTTCAGACGTCTGACCTATTTTCAGAATGCGACCCAACTGAAGTTGGACAAGTAGAACTACATTTTGAGTTATTATTCCATGTATATTTCGAGTTAAATATTTTCGGAAAAGATCAATGCCAAGAAGTTTAGCCAGGGACCAGCTGGTAGAAAGGATCCTTAACCGTGAACCTAAGTTGTTATCCTAGTAAAATATACTTGTTTCTTTCTTTCCTTTTTCTTTTTCTTTTGAGACAAGTTTGGAAATGATACACATGGTAAAAAACTGTGCACTATAAATGCTAATAAACATTATGTGTATTCTAGAGTTAAAGCATAATAATTATGTTTAATCATGAGACCATATCAACTTACCACATCATTATCATTATTAGTATCTTGTCTTGATACAGACTGAGATTCATCATTATCTGCTTTCCATGTTAGTAAACTACAATAAATACATAAATATATTAGTATATAAGTACTTGAGATAGAAGAAGCCAAATGAAATGAATATGGAGTTTTTACTTTTTTCTGTGTGAGTATAGGCTGTGTGCAATGAGAGAAATTTTGCCAGGGCAGAACCTCCGACCAGTATCACTGACAGGGATAAACCAAGGTTTAACCACGTGAAAAAAGATGGAAGAGGTGACCTGTTATTAGGCTGAGTATACTTTGATAATCAACAAAAAAAAACCCCAAATGTTACAAATGAGCCCTTCCAATCATATTGCGTCATTACCTATCTAAGTTCCTATCTGAGTACCTATATGAGTTATTTCAATCAGATTTGCCACATCATTAATGGCATATATTGAATTTTTAAACTTACTTGTGTGGAATGGTAGATTTAAAGATGTCTAACATACAAGAACAAGTTTGATCCCACACAGCACTAGAAAACTTATTACCATTAGATATTACTAAATTCTCTAGACAATTTGTACCAGACCTAGCTAACTGTTCATTATCTAAAATTAATTATCACAAACTATCACATAACCAAAATAAACTCTGCCAAACTCCATAGAAATCATTCATTAAAGTTTCATATTGAAGTGTTGGAACTCCAAAGTATATTTATATTTGTTGGAACTCCAAAGTATATTTATATTTGTTGGAACTCCAAAGTACATTTATATTTGTTGGAACTCCACAGAATATTTATATTTGTTGGAACTCCAAAGTATATTTATATTTGTTGGAACTCCAAAGCATATTTATATTTGTTGGAACTCCAAAGAATATTTATATTTGTTGGAACTCCAAAGTATATTTATATTTGTTGGAACTCCAAAGTATATTTATATTTGTTGGAACTCCACAGCATCTTTATATTTTTTGGAACTCTAAAGCATATTTATATTTGTTGGAACTCTAAAGCATATTCATATTTGTTGGAACTCCAAAGAATATTTATATTTGTTGGAACTCCAAAGCATATCTATATTTGTTGGAACTCCAAAGCATATTTATATTTGTTGGAACTCCAAAGAATATTTATATTTGTTGGAACTCCAAAGCATATTTATATTTGTTGGAACTCCAAAGCATATTTATATTTGTTGGAACTCCAAAGAATATCTATATTTGTTGGAACTCCAAAGAATATTTATATTTGTTGGAACTCCAAAGCATATTTATATTTGTTGGAACTCTAAAGCATATTTATATTTGTTGGAACTCCAAAGAATATTTATATTTGTTGGAACTCCAAAGCATATTTATATTTGTTGGAACTCCAAAGCATATTTATATTTGTTGGAACTCCAAAGAATATTTATATTTGTTGGAACTCCAAAGCATATTTATATTTGTTGGAACTCCAAAGCATATTTATATTTGTTGGAACTCCAAAGAATATTTATATTTGTTGGAACTCCAAAGCATATCTAAATTTGTTGGAACTCCAAAGCATATTTATATTTGTTGGAACTCCAAAGAATATTTATATTTATTGGAACTCCAAAGCATATTTATATTTGTTGGAACTCCAAAGCATATTCATATTTGTTGGAACTCCAAAGCATCTTTATATTTGTTGGAACTCCAAAGAATATTTATATTTGTTGGAACTCCAAAGCATATCTATATTTGTTGGAACTTCAAAGCATATTTATATTTTTTGGAACTCCAAAGCATATTCATATGTTGGAACTCCAAAGCATATTTATATTTGTTGGAACTCCAAAGAATATTTATATTTGTTGGAACTCCAAAGCATCTTTATATTTGTTGGAACTCCAAAGCATATCTATATTTGTTGGAACTCCAAAGCATATTTATATTTGTTGGAACTCCAAAGCATATTCATATTTGTTGGAACTCCAAAGAATATTTATATTTGTTGGAACTCCAAAGCATATCTATATTTGTTGGAACTTCAAAGCATATTTATATTTTTTGGAACTCCAAAGCATATTCATATGTTGGAACTCCAAAGCATATTTATATTTGTTGGAACTCCAAAGAATATTTATATTTGTTGGAACTCCAAAGAATATTTATATTTGTTGGAACTCCAAAGCATATTCATATTTGTTGGAACTCCAAAGCATCTTTATATTTGTTGGAACTCCAAAGAATATTTATATTTGTTGGAACTCCAAAGCATCTTTATATTTGTTAGAACTCCAAAGCATATCTATATTTGTTGGAACTCCAAAGCATCTTTATATTTGTTGGAACTCCAAAGCATATCTATATTTGTTGGAACTCCAAAGCATATTTATATTTGTTGGAACTCCAAAGCATATTCATATTTGTCGGAACTCCAAAGAATATTTATATTTGTTGGAACTCCAAAGCATATTTATATTTGTTAAAAATCCAAAGCATATTTATATTTGTTCGAACTTCAAAGCATCTTTATATTTGTTGGAACTCCAAAGCATATTTATATTTGTTAAAAATCCAAAGCATATTTATATTTGTTCGAACTTCAAGGCATCTTTATATTTGTTGCAACTCCAAAGCATATTTATATTTTTTAAAAATCCAAAGCATATTTATATTTGTTCGAACTTCAAAGCATCTTTATATTTGTTGGAACTCCAAAGCATATCTATATTTGTTGGAACTCCAAAGCATATTTATATTTGTTAAAAATCCAAAGCATATTTATATTTGAGCGGGGTTCAAAGCACACTCTTATTCATGTGAGCTTCAAAGCATATTGAATTTTAAGAAATGATGAATCATTATTTCAACTTTCAAATGTGGATAATTCTAGACACACAAGGATTTGAAAACTTAAATTTTGATGGTGAGCTATTACTGATTAGATAAACTATAAAATTCACATTTTTGAGACTAACAGTTGGATGGCAAACCTACTCAATAAGCTGTTATAAACGACCCAACCCTGTCTCTTCAATGCCCAGCCCTTCTAATAACTAACTTAACTAACCTTGTTGTACACACCAATGTAACATCTGATATAAATCTAACAATAAGATATCGTGTAGATTATCATAATACTGTGTAAAAACATCAACTATAGCATATAGTGCATGGTTACAGGTTGTAGTCATCCACTCGGATTTCTGGCAAAAAAATAAATAAATAAATGAGAGCATAGATAATACAAGTCAATATTAAATAAGGATAAGCCAAAATTCCTGAAATATGGTACAAAAGCTTTTAAGGAAGGAAGTGTTTGATTGGTTGATTAATGACCTTGAACTCGTGGTGCATAACAATTTCCTGAGATCATGATTGGAACAGGAAAACAGTCCAAGAAAATCATGAAAAGAAACATCTGGGTAATCAGACTACTAACAAGGGAAATTAGATTCTTAAGTGGTCAAAAGCCTTGTGACTAACAACAGATAAATGGCTATGCAAACACAAACTGTTATGGGTCCATTTCAATAACCATAATTTAAACTACCTACCTCACTAAGTTGTTCTGGTAATTTCATATTATCAAATATTCTAAAGATAATACGGAATAGATCACGCCACCAATGTTGTTGGAATGAATCACCATACGTCTTCATAATTTCAAACATCACAGTTAAGCCTCTGAAAAAGTTTGAAACCTCTTGTTCTTAATACATGAATAGTTTAATGTTTCTTTGAAGAAAAGGTATGCAGTGTACAATGATGGACATTTTACCTTGATAAACAAAGAAGTGCTGACTGTTTTTACTTTTACATTACAGAAAGTTTTGAAAATGTTATTTTTAAATTGATTTGGAGTTGAAGCAAACGTGTCTCTCACAAAGATCAATTTTTTTTTATCTAATATGAATAATGAATCTGATTGGATGATGACACTCTGTCTTTCAGACGATTAAACAATTGGCAACAAATATCAAATGGAATAATCTTGGGCACATGTGAGATTTTAGCGGCGACAAAAACTGCTTATAGGCCGGAGCATAAATTTTTAAGACAACTACACACTAACCTGGTTCTAACATCTAATTTACATCTATTTATAACACAAGATAGTTCAAATAACACAGGAAACCATCCTCGTACCCAGACTCTATCATCTTCTGGTACATTCATTTCTTCTCCAGCATGCTCTCTAAACATCTACAATTAGATACACACTCATTAATATTTATCAATTACTCATAATGCATAATATACTTAGAGCTCAGTGGATGGAAACTTACGAACTCTTGTCTACCTTCCAATAGATACTTTGATGGTTATCAGCTCCCGTGTCAGAAACAATACTATATCCTAACAGATAACAAGGGAAAGAGTTGCTTAAAGTTCCTTTAAGTATTAAAGATGTTTAATATTCAACAATTTTACTTAGCCACGTGTGACTAAAATCCACAGACAATAAGAGAACAGTCTACATTTTCAAAAAGATACCAAAAGACTAATTAATATTGGACAGGCAACTTACATGTGGTTTTTCAGCAACATATTTAGCACAGTTTCTAATCAGTCTAATGGCTTCCATACTGGTATCAGGGAAGGCAGCATTACAAGCAAACTCTGATAAACATTTAACAGCATCTTGAAATGAGTCTATTATTGCTGTGAAATGCTTCTCACAAATACTTGCTGAAAAACATAATGAAATTTTAACATTTCTGCATCTTTCTCCTTTTGTCTTGAACCTTAAATATAGTTGTCATTCCTATCAGGGCTGTTTTGTTGCTCAGGTGCTAGTCATGTTTGGTACAACCTTCCTTTTATGAGACCATTTCGAATGATTTTTGCGACATTATTGATAACTTGTCAAATTCGCGGTATTCATGCTCAGCAAGTCTTGGCAATGAAAAGTTGAAATCAAGAGCAAAGCTTAGCACTATGTATCATCTATTGATAAAATCATTTTCCAACACAACAATGGCTGTTACTGGTGAGACAAGTTATACAAACACTTCAAAAACACCTGACACCACTCTTTGACTTGGATGCAGAACAAAGCAGTACATGAATGAGGACTGTCCCTCAGATGAAGGCAAAATCTCTTTTTCTCAATATTTCAATTTGACTTACAGATAATTTTGCCAGTAGTTTGAAAAGCCAACTCTACAATGCCTTCATCATGATCAGACGCTGCCAGATGAAATGTACTAAATATATTCTTCCAGCCTGACTTTATATTAGCAGCTTGTGAATTGACCATTTGAGCAACACAACGTACAACCATATCACGTATTGTAGGAGATCTGAAATAAATATTTGTGGTAATAAATAATAAATGCTTTGGCTCTCTCTGATTTATTCCAGTTGAAAATCTAAAAAAGTGCTTATAAATAATAAATAATAAATTCGCCCTCTAACTCTGATTTTTGAAAAAAAAAAAGGCCTGTAAAACAGACTATTTATTTTATACGGCCTAATGAACAATCTTTTCTTGAAAATAACAAATCATAGTAAATGAATAAATTTAAACCAATGGAATATTAAAACTGTACCTGTTTCGTTTCATAATATGTTCAAAAGGTCGTAAGAAATCTTTCTGAAATCTGAAGTTAGCAAATTCTCCTTTTTCGATAAATTTCATTGATAATTGTCGAATAGAATCTACAGCAAAAAAAGCTATGTCTTCATTAGGATAACATCCAACCTGTAAATATAATACACATAGATCAATTGTTGATTAGATCAGTTACATCAAATGGCAGCAAAATATACAAAACTGTAATATCAAAACATATTTGAATTTCTGAATGTTGAAAACAAGTGCACAATGTGTGAACTTCATGGCTCCATCTGAAGTTCTTCTTAGCTATTCATAAGGGTCAAGGTTATTGAGAGGACCATTATTGTTTTCTGATATTGAAGAGTTCATAACCTCCCTGTAAAAAAACTGACTACAATTCATTTCGCACTTCAAATTAATTTGCTCAAAGAGACGGCAAAACTTTGAAAGTAAAATTTAATGAAGTATCTCTTACTTTGTTAAAATGGTCACCAAGATATTGCCAGATACGAGACCACTGTAGCCTGATACGACCCATGTTATAATAAGAAATCTCTACTATCTTCTGTAAACTAAACATTCTAGGATGTGTAGGGCTAGCTAATTCATCTAATGATACTTGACATAAAGCTTTAGTAAACTCCACTGAAATTTATCACAAAACCTTTTCAAATAATATTGAAGGGACAGATTCACCAATTTGGGGGATTGATTTGTGTCTGAAACAGAAATAGTCTTCAGAAGTACTAGGAATGTACGGAAATCACATTATCCCTTCAAAAACTGGGAATTTCACTTTCTATTTCTATATATGCCATTTCTATCTATGGCAGACTCTCAAGAAGGCAGACCTGTGTCATTTCTCAATATTTACATGTTTCTTTTGAATTGCATTACCCGACCATTGCTGGGATTGAACCCTGGATCCTCAGGTTAGCTGCATGTATCTAACTCGCTAAACCACCACAGCTCCAATCTATGTGATGAAACAGCAAAGTTCCTCTTACACATGGACTACAAATAATATAAAAATATCATACCTATAGCATCACCATCTAGTTTAACAGAACCAGTAAATATTCTATCAACAGCTACTACTACACTCTGAGAACTAGTTTCACCAACTGTTTCATGAAAATGAGCCAATCTTTGTCTGTCTAAATTCTGTATACCACCTCGTGCTATCACTGAAACAATTATTATGAAAATTAACTCACTGCAAACTTTAAGTAATTGATATTTTTCACATGTTTCGGATATAAAATCTGCCATCAGGACAGTTGTTATTGGTATCCAATACTATAAGGTACTTGTAATTGAAAGATACAACATAAGGCATGTGGTGCAATTTCTTTAACTGCCTGATATTTTTTTCGGAGAAAATAGAATATTTGTATATTGAAAACAAATTCTGACTTTCAATCCATAAACATTTTGGTTATACTAAAGTTATAGTCACATGGGTAAAATGTTTTGAATATGGCATTTAAGGGGTTAAGAGAGCTTACCTTCAGGATCAAAAGCTTCTATTGGATGACTTGATGAAGCTGATGAGTTAGATGGATTTGTTATATATTTAGTTTTAACACCAGTACCTATTAACTGAGCTAATTCTAACTGTGATATACACCTTAATATCTACAATATAATCAAGACAATATTCATTATCTGATATTTCACGTAGAATAGCCCAACCCAACCACGGATAATGGTCAATTTACGATTATCAAATTTAAATCAAACTAAATTCACAAATTCGTGAGAACAGCTTAAGCTCCGCCCACATAGATACAATTGTTAAATCACCACAAAACAACAATACATAATGACTCCCCTTCAATCTTTCTGGATATCTTTCGTCATCATTGCAAGTTACCCATGGACACATCAATACCATATTGTCAGATATACACAAGTCATTAGAAACTAAATTTCTTTTATTGACACATGCTTTGTCGAATTGTGTTTGTGGGTAAAACATGGCGGCTGATTTTATGAGGATTGGTCAATATTCAGCTGTCAATCATTCTCATGGATCTGTGAATTATACAGAGAGTATACTTAAACAAAGCAAGTTATCTTACCTCTAGCCATGATTTTCCAAGATAATTACCATCTGTATGGGCTACTGATATCAATGTTTTAATAGTATCTATATTTTTAGCTTTCATCTCTGTTATAGGTGTAGCACAGGTTAATAAAGTAAATCTAGCTAAAGCCTGTACGTACGCATCTCTTTCCAACTGTAAATAGATACAAATTTTCCATTGACAATTTTTGACTTTAAGACGTCATCAAACACTTAGTTTCAGTAAAATTACTGGAACCACAGACGTCTGATTGAAAATTGGAATGTCGCAATTTGATGCTATCAGTGTCTCCAATAGACATGAAAATTTCAGAAAAACCTCTTTACAATCCCTTTAAGTATAATATATTCTGTATAGCCTTAAGATAGCTAGATGTTTAGAAGTTTTTACTAAGCACCACTCAGACAATGACTGGCATATATTGCTTAGTCAACTAGTCCATTTTTTTCTGAGGCTAATTTCAGACATAAATAGAAGACTAACCTCTGCATGAAATATACAAGCAATACGTATAGCACATCTAATACCATCTAAACAATATGTAGCTATATAGGAATCATCACTATCTTGTAATCCAATACTAAAAGCTGCCAAAAATGGTGTCCACGCCATCTGTAACAAAATTTACATGATTTATATTATGGAGGTGCTTGATTGGCGAGTTTGAGTTTCATTACATCAACTGGAAGTTGAAACCGGGTCGAAAAATTTGGAGGTATTATCTCGACATTTGCGGGGAATGAACCCCAGACCTTCAGGTTAGCTAGCAGAACTCTAACTCACTGAGCTACTGCGACTACCTGGCCAGAACCTGTTCCGAATTCATTAATCAAGGGCCACCTATATTGATTTTCTATCCAAGATGGTGAATATTATGGTGATATTGATGAATGTAACTCTGCTACAAATCAAACTTGGTGTCTATTTCCAGGTTAATGGGACTTATTTGCATGGACTGTCTATAAAATATGTAGTACACTTACTCTAAACATAGGTCTAACATGTTCTAAATGACTGGCTACAGTAAAATTAGATTTAACATGACTAACACTTTCCATTAGGGCTTTAGCAGCCTGAGCCATGTTCTCCATCTCCGTATTATATAACAATCTTCTTTGTTTATCACTAGTTATATCTTCTACAAAAATATTCAAATCATCCAATCAAAATAAAGAAATCATTCCAATATGATTTTTTTAACGAAGGACCTCGAATATTTACAGAATATATCAGTGGGACCTTCAGACGCGCATCACTGACAGGACGAACTTTTAATCTGAGGTTTAAACTTAAATCCTATGGAAAAATTCAGAATTTCAGATTTCCATTACACTCAATATACATTTTATTTTCTCAAGCAAACAACTAGATGCTAATTCTATTTAAGGCCTCTCTGACTTGCATCACTGACAGGGGGAAACTGGGTTGAAAAATCACCTGCCAAACTTGCTGTGCTTCAAAAATAGTAGGTGCAAACAGGATTCAAAATTGCGGGGGAAGGAAATAGATGAAAAAATTTTTAATGTGACATATTCTGCTTCTGTATCATTCGATTGAGGGCAAAAATGGGACAGACAGAACAAGTTCACTTTGAGTGCCACCCTGATTTTAAAGCTTTGATATCAATTTCTTCATCCTATCACAGGCAGTAAGAACAGTAAAACAAACTCACTAGCTGATTTACTTGGTTTTTGACTAGATGTTGTTTTCATTTTGATTTCATGATCAGCTATTTCATCATATATAGCTATAAGATAATCTTCAGGTAAATCTTTACTATCATTAATACCTCTATTCATACGTATATATTGTTCTTTAGTCATCTTATGTTCTCGTTTTATCTACAAGATACATCAATATAACATTATATATATATCATATTAGAATCAGAATAAATTCTTTTTTTGCACCAGTAGTAGGGCTGGGTGATATACCGTTATCACCATAAATACCAGTATAGAAATTTATATTGTTAAAAATATCGCCTGATTAAAAAATACCCAAATATCCCCATATCGTGATATATGGTGGCTATCATGATATATCATCAAATTTTTGTCCATATAAGATCATCTACACAATTCTAAGTAACTTAATATTTGAAACAGACGTTTTTTTCATGATATTCAAGACCTGGAGTGTTTTTAAGGATTATTTATTGTTTTATTTATTTGTTGTTACATTTAAAATTTCTAGATCATAATTTTGTTTCAAAAACCAGTGAAAAAAAAACTTATATATATACCCATATCGTGATATATATACCCATATCGTGATATATTAATCGTACTTAATATGGTGATATCAACTTGAACCAATATCACCCAGCCCCAACCAGTAGGTATAATATATCAGTGCCTTTTTAAATTTACCTTACCACGCATATTAGAGGAATATGTATATAAATTATTCAGATGCAGAAATCTTAATTTGGAGTTCCATTCATGAAATTAAATAACTTGTATCTATAAATTATCTTGTTTGTAAGTAGTCTAACCTGATGACTATGTAAGTCTGTTGTTAACATTATAATAGAATAAGCTAATACGTAGGCTGTATCGGCACTAGCAAACAATTCATTACTGAAATACAAGATACAAAATAAGTCATCATTAAAGTTAGCTGCCATAGAAGAAATATTATTTCCAAAAGTCTCGCTTTTTGGTGCTTTCAATAGTAACATTTTCAGATTTAGGAACTTCACACTTTGGACCAAATGATGCAAATAGAATCTACAATTTTTTTCGAAACAAAAACTACAAAATAAATAAGGTTAAGATAGATCCTTAGTTGATGCCAGTTTAGCAGTATATACTTACTTTTGGTTACATTTACAATATCTAGAAGCAAATTTTTCCATCAATCGATCAATTTTCTGAGCTTCACCAGGTAATCTAAAACCTTCTAGAAACTTTCTTAAACCAGATACAAAATCCATTTCACTGAAGTTAATTTGATCTATATAGGCATACATAACTTCTTTGTTGAACCTGTTTTTTAAAAAAAGATCAATCGGTTAGTTTAAAATCCTCATAAATTCTGACTCTATCTAAATGCTATCTCTCTAAAGTACCTATTGAAATCAAAGATGATTGATTTTATTAAACTTTAACTATATACAGCCTTGTAGTCCAATATATTATATAAGATGATCTCTACTTACATTTCATTTTCTCCTAAGAAATCACCGATAGCAGTCTGCAAAAAAAAAAAAATTCTGCAAAAACATTTTCAGAGGTAAATGAAATATTTCATTGCATAATATGGGGTAATATACAAGGTGGATGCAATTTATGACTTTTATCAAAGGCTAAAATGTCAACATTCAATAAATGCTGACGAAAAAATCTGACCACGTATCCTCGAAACGATCTTAGCACTAGGATGTCCTAGGTTCTTATCTTCTAACATTGATTCTAGGACATCCTAGCGCTACGATTGTTTCGAAAATATGTGGCCTGGTTCCATCAACTTAAGTCAAATTCTGGCATTTTTGGCAGAAATTACCTTATCTAATCTCTCTTCTGAATGTAAGAATTCTGCTATATCATCATGTGATTTACCCAGCATTCCTTGTTCTTGTAAATATGTTATACCTCTCATTGGCTTTTTATGGAACCTTAAAAACAAGATAAAAAATCGTTTTTGGTTTTAGGCACAAGTCAAATTCATTAGAAATATCTAGGAAATGGTAAAGAATACTTTTTAATCAAAAATATTCAGATAATAAAAATCCATACAAGCAAGAAAATTCTGTCAATCAAAACTTGTCCAAAGAACGGCAAAATCGAGAGTAAAGGTAGTATAGTGGTGGACTCCTTCAAAGAGAAATACCATCAGGTGTTTTGAAAAGAGTAAGCATGTACACATCTCATCTGGACATTTAACAAGATAAAAATTCTAATACGAGATCAAATCAAGACTTAAATGGGATGAAAAAAACACTTACAATTCAATACCATTCTCCATAATCTCTTTCTGTTGTTTAATGACTTCAAATTGTTCGGGGTTATCATATGGTGTAACAGTGATAGCTGGAGTACTATTATTACTACTTAGTGAATTAGAACTTCCATAACTATTCATAGTACCTTTACCACTATCACTATCTGTTTCTGTATAGGGTTTATTGTCTGCTCCTACAAAATAAAGTTACCACAGTAAACGTCAAGCAGGTTTCATATCTGTCAAGGTAGATGTCAAGCAGGTTTCATATCAGACATCAAGCAGGTTTCATATTTGTTAAGCAGACTTAATATTTGTCAAGCAGGTTTCATATCTGTCAAGGTAGATGTCAAGCAGGTTTCATATTTGTCAAAGTGAAGAGTCAAACTATTTCATATCTGTCAAGATGAAAGTCATGCAGGCTTCATATGTGTCAAGGTAAACATCAAGCAAGTTTCATATCTGTCAAAGTAGACGTCAAGCAGGTTTCATATCTTCAAGGGACGTCAAGCAGGTTTCATATTTGTCAAAGTGAAAAGTCAAACTATTTCATATCTGTCAAGATAAAAGTCATGCAGGCTTCATATGTGTCAAGGTAAACATCAAGCAAGTTTCATATCTGTCAAAGTAAAAAGTCAACTTGGTTTCATATTTGACAATAATATAACTTACCAAGATTAGATTGTGAATGTGGATTGATATAGAGATCTTTACTCCATTCTACCATACATTTTAATATAGATACTAAACATTCTAAACCTTTTATTCTCATACTCTTCTCTTGATTAGGTGTAGCTCCTGTTAATATAGATTATCACATTAATTATCAACAATAATTCTTCCATATATTAATAATATTATTATTGTACTAATCAGTGGTGTATCTAGATAGTGTCTGCGGAAGGGGCCAGATATGAGAGGCGTCTCTCAAAGCTGAGGCTGGAAAGGCAACAGCCCCATGAAACCAGGGGACTACCAGAGGCCTCCAGATGTCAATAGATTTCAGATGGCCTGAGATTAATTTTGAGCAATTAGAGGGCTTATTTTTTCACTTCAAAATGGGATCTATCACAGGCCTGATTAAGAGGTCATGACCCAACTCCTCCTAAACATGCTACTGGCACTAACTTAGCTCTTAGCCAATTAACGCATTCACATAGTTTACAAGGCATATCTGTAATATGTTATCATAATTCAAGAATAAGCCACTAGGCTTTTAATTTTGGAGACAAATCAAGAATAATAGCAAAAGCATCCTTCGAATTTGACCTACAGTTGTACATATGAGAGAATTGAACATACCTAGTTCCATAGCTTGTCTTCCTTGAGCTATTTTAGATAAATCATTAACCAATCTTTCAAATATATTAGCCAGAGCTAGATCACAGTCATAATTTAAATAAATATCAACCACACACTGAGCATCTGTAAATAAAAGAGTATATGTTTATTATTAGAAATGTGAAATGGGTGGCGCTCGATTGGTGAGTTCTGAACAGGTTCCGTCTCTTCCCAATCGAACAGAATGAAAGAGGATATGTCACATTAAAACTTTTTCCATCTATTTCATTCTCCACCATTTTGAATTCTTTCTGCGCTGACTATTTTTTCAGCACATGTGGAACTGAATTACATGCAGAATAGAAGACCCCAAGGAGTTTGACTTTTCTATAGCATACAGGGTCTTGGTTTTCATCCTATACAAGCAAAATTTTAAACGAGTGTAGTTGTAAAATAAAATATCTGACTTACCAGCACAAATTCTAGTTAAAGCTTGAATAACCATCCATTTATGTTCAAATGAACTACTAGGTGTCTCTAATATATATAAAAATATCTCTTTAAAAAATACCTGCAATATAAACATCAAGGTTTTATCATATTCTATTTCTTCAAGTGTGATTCGAAATCTTAGTTGAAATATTATAACCTTTATCAATATTCGACTTATTAAGTCGAGGAAGTGATTCAAAATGGTTGTGATCTACGTTCTTGTGTGTGTTATTTCAATCTAAGAATCATACGTAATTGAGTATGCTTCTCCCTACTCTTCTTCGTTTCTGTTCTACCTTTAACGTAGTCTGATTTATTTCCATGCCCACAAAACGAAGTGTAAAGTTTACTACGAGTTAATAACACCTGTCAAAGCCTTGAAGATAGGCTTTATCCGTTTAAAGGGCACATACAGAGTATAAACAAAATCAAGATAATTAACTTACCTCTATTTGCATCTTTAAATGTTGTTTAAAGTTGGACAGAAGAGTCAAGAAAATAGCTAGTGATAATTCAAATACATCAGGTACAGCACTGACGCCATTTTTAGAAAGTGCTACACATAAATACTGTTTGATAGCGTTAATAAACATTTCATTAGTTTTAAAGACTGGTCCAGCACTTTGTAATATAGATAATAATAGTTGCAATGATAGAATCTTGGACCGTAATTCATGTGATCTGAAATATATGTGGAAAATATATTACATACCCTTTATTTACAGTTTTTAAATTGTGTTTCTAAATTTTGTATGTGTATAAGGACACTGATAACATCAATTTGCACCATTCCAACTGTGGTTAATGCAATTCCAATAAAACTAAGTGTTTTATGACCTCACAAATTGCTAGTGATCAAGCATATTTTGGGATTAGTGATGTCATCAAACACTAAGTTTTAATGGCCTACAGATGTCTGCTTTAACATTGGAATAGTGCGAATTGATGCTACCAGTGTCCCTGATACACATACAATTTTTAGTAAACCACTTTTTTAATTTAAAATTACAATTCCTTTCCTACTTCGATTTGATTTCAACATTTTAAGCACACCAAACATCAAAACTTACTTTGGATCTGGTGGACCATCAGCTAATGGTTTCATTGATAATTTACATAAACTTCTAAACACCAAGAAGGCATCTTTCTGTAGAATATGACTGAATGCACCTTGCATCTGATCTTGACCTTCACCTCCAGCCTCTATATCAGTATCGTCAGGTGACATCCGTGGTAAACCTGCAATTAAATTTGAAATATTCAATCAAGTAGCACGACACATCATAACTTTTAGATAATCATATTACTGTAAACTGATTGGTTAAGAAACCATTAAATATAACAACATCAAATAAATCTGGAAAGCTTCAGCAAAACATTTCTTAAAAACATTACTAATAGAAGAAACTTTGCCATGCTGTAGAAGTTTAGAATTTAGAAAATAATACATGTACAGTGACAAGAACCATTGGTTGATGTCATTGAAGTATATAATTAAGAAAACTTATAATTTTGATGACATGGCCCTACAACTTCGTCAAAACAGTAATCTCATTGGACAATTTATAGACTGTTTTATTCTTAAACCATATTAGTTAAGCATTAGTGTTTTACTGAAACATGCCTTAAAAGGGACAAGTGCGCCATTTTTTTCACCAATAGAACCATAGTCTGAGAATCAGGGATTTTTTAGCTGAGCAAATCAGTAAGAGTGTTCACAGCTCACGGTCGAAATTAGAGCCTTCAAATCAATGTGTGTCCAGAATTATCCACGTTTGAATGTTAAATATATAAAAATAGTGAGTAAAATTCCTAGTTTGAAGTATTTTAAAGATAGCTTGCCAGGCAAGGTAACATACGCCCACTGGCAGCTGTGAGAAATGATTAAACAGTCTTTAGTGGCTACAGGGTTGCACAATATAGCTAATAGAGTGAAACGTCAAGTTAGACACGATATTTCGGTGAAAAATTATCCGATCATCACGAAAATCAATAGGGATCATCTCCATAATGAAATTGACACACAAAATAAAAATCAAAAGAATCTGTAAAAAATTGTAGCCTGTAGAGTGAGCACGAGTTGCACAATATAGCTAATAGAGAAAAACGTCAAGTCAGACACGATATTTCGGTGAAAAATTATCCGATCATCACGAAAATCAATAGGGATCATCTTCATAATGACATTGACACACAAAATAAAAATCAAAAGAATCCATAAAGAACTGTAGCCTGTAGAGTGAGCACGAGCCAAATGTGAACGGACGGACCGACGGGGTGATTACAATATACGCCCATCTTATGTGTGGGCGTATAAAAAGAAATTTTGTATGATCTGTATATTTCTAGTAGTTCTGAAGACTATTTACATATATTCAAGACTCAAATCAATCCCCCAAAATGGCGCACTAATCCCTTTTATGTCCATACCCAAAACATGTTTTGTTTTCCTGAATCTAGCTAGCAGACATCTGTCAATACAGATTTATTAAAAGATTCATATAGAGACTTGCTGTGAAAACTATTACTGATTAGCTTAACTAAAAAATTCCAGTGTCTGACACTAAGGTAAGATTGGTCAAACAGATGACAAACCTGTCTCTTTAAATTGGTAACAAACTATATTTAGTTAAATATTAAACATAATATAACCAATACATACAGGTTAATAAAAAAATCTCAAAAAAAATTGAGACTAACATTGAAATATATGTATCAGTGAAATGAAATAGGCATGTTTTGAAAACAAAATCTCACTTTTAACTTTAAGGGATTGTAAAGAGTTTTCTAAATTTTTTAACATCAATTTACGCCATTCCAACTTTAAATCAGACATCTGTGGTTCCTGCAAATCTACTTAAACTAAGCGTTTGATGACGTCACTTATTGCTAAATATGCTTTATCACATAAGGCCCTTCGCTGTAAATGACATCACCAAACACTTTGTTTTAGTGGAATAAAATAAGTGATGCTATCAGTGTCCCCATATACATAAAATATTTAGAAAACCTCTTTTCAATCTCTTTTAGATTTAACGTTGACAACATAACAGTACTATAACTAAACTTATAGATAAAAATAACATGGATATAGTTATATAGAAAATTGCTTTATAGAAGATAGAGTTCAATATCAGTTAACAACTGTCAGAGAAGGAATCTAATGTCTTGTCCCAGTCCTGTCATGTTATCACCTCCGGACTAGAATTCTCACTTACGTATGACATCATCCATTATAATTGCTATGAGAATGTTTAAGTCTGAAAGTGGCATCAGTTCAAACTTTCATGTTATGTTTTTGTTTCATTGTAGAGAAGCAGAAAGTAAGTTATTAAATATAAAAAGGGATACGGATAGCTGAAATTGAGCTCTTAAAGCTGGTTAATCTACACAACTATATCCATTTAATCTAAAGCAAGCAAATAACTAAAAGCATGATAAAGCAAAATAAAGCAAGCTAAGTTAAAAGCATAAATAAAAGATAGCAATGAAACAAATGGTATATGACCACACAGAAACTATGGTAAATTGTAAAGATACTAATGTCTTTTAAAAAACCGTTAAGATTACAGTATATCTATCATCAGACCAACTCTAGAAAGCACTTTCCATGGAATTGGAAATTTGCATCAATTAAAAGACAATCATTTGTTTCATTCATTGAAAATCAAAACATTTCTTTCAAATACCAAGTATTTTGAGATTTTCTAATTGAAATTGCTGATTTTGTGAATTTTCTCTTTTCTTTTTAATTTAAAGCTGAATTTATCACAAGCAAAAATTGTACCAACAGACTGATGAAAAGATAAAGAAAATACACTCCCATAAATAAATATGGGTCTATAAACATTGAAACCACTGTTACAATAGCTATATCAAAAAAATAAAGAGGAATTCATGTTACCTCCACCTTTAATAGGGTCTGTAGGGGAAGAAAGTGTAGAATTTGGGGGGATTTCTGTGGATTTTTTCGGGGATTTCTGTACATCACTAGATTCTATCACAGATTCTGTAGTTTGTGTTTCATCAAGTTTATCCGCATTTTTGGCTAAAAATAACGTCATAATGGTATTGATATTTTTGGAATATTACTTTAAACTTCTGTCTTCTTACTCTTTGCAAATCACATTTTACTAATTATTTTTAATATTAGCATCAATTATTTGCATTGATAGAAATATATTTTGAACCTTCAAATCCAAAAAATACATACTATTTTCAGAAAGTTTACCAAGTGTTGCAAATTTTGACTACAAATTTCTCAAAACTAAATTTCAAAATGACATGTGCATAACCAAGACTATCATTTACAAATGGTCAGTAAAATTTGATTTACCAACAAAAATCAGAAGGCAGTAAAGAATTCAAAGAGGATTCATTATTTATAGAACTTTATGAGCATACCATAGAATGCATGTAATTTTCGATTTCTCTAATACATACAATCTCTCGTTGTTCTTAAAATCAATCAAGCCCCTTGAAAAGGGTAGAGAGGATTGCCTTTTATCATACATTCAAATGAAATAAAAAATGCAAGAAAATGAAAATGACTTAAGGAAAATGTAATATGCATTAGAAATATGTTATTTATTCAACAATAACAAAGATTTAGTAAATTATAACAATAGAAACATTTAGTCCAGATCTGCAGAATTCAAATGCACAATATGATCAAGATTTAGACCAATTTATTTCAATCTGGTGCAGAATTAGATATTTTGTTTCATGCTTTTTCTTGGGGTTATTATTCTTCATGATCTGAAAAAATTCTTCTATGAATGTCTGTTAAAATTTGACTGACATTACTTTAACTTTGAATACCCAAAATTTCTCATGTATAATGTTAATCTTTTCTTGAACAGATAATTTGATTGGTTTAATATCTTACTAAGCACGAACATGTGATCATAAGAATTTTGTCAGATCACAGATGGTAAGTGATCACAATAGAAAAAAAAATAAACAAAAGATCTAGATCTTTATCTAATTATATCTAAAATAACAATCCCCGATTTCAATGCCTGTATAGAAAATCTATGTAAAATGTTTCAATAGAGTATAAATTTAAAACTGACCTTCTATAACTTGATCTATCAAATCATCTATTATGCCTTTAGCTATTTCTTCTGAGCTTTCTTCTTTCACTACATTTAACAAAACAGTTATTTAAGTATTACAGTATATTTCTAGTTTTTGGGACCATTTGAAACACAAAATATGAGCAATTCAATTTATTTTGTAGTATTAAGTAGTATAAAAACAATATAAATCTGGTTTATTAATACCTCATTCGATACCTATCTTTATTTCTTGTGTTTACAGGGTTAATGTTGTGAATTTTTATTGATATACAGGTATCGAATGTAGCATAAGTTACAATTAGTGATATTTAACCTCAAAACACATGTTCAGAATTATCCCCAGATTTGCATAGTTATCATTGCTAGCCTATATAAAGAATTTTGATGCCGTTTGATTTAGCATCATTTTGGCATTAACCATTATTTCGAAATCTAATTATTTAAACACTCACCATCAATTCCTTCATCTTTACTCTCACTACCAGATCTCTCCCTATTTTCATTGTTACTTATCTCCCTTTCAACTGACTCTTTATTTTCTGACGAATTAGAATCTTCTGCTGCTTTATTTTCATTGCTTTCTTCTAAATTTTCTTTTTTCTACAGTAACATAAAGGTTTATCAAAATCAGACAGGGTAGAATTTGTCAAACTAAGACATCTTTCTGGGTCTCAGACAATTTTGAAACACTAAATTAAAGTTCAAGGTCAGAGAATCCTTGAGTGCAAGTTGCATATATAACAGCAATTGATTAATTGCAATTTCTTGAACACATCAGTGTCGTCTGCCATTGTTTCATAGTACAGTATACAAAGGCAATTAAAAATTTGTCCCTTACGTCATCTGTTTCAGATTTCTTTTCAGCAGAATTTTCTTCAGTAACCTCTTCCTTCTTTTCACTTTCCTGTAGAAATTCATTCAGAAATCATACCTCAATATTGATATATGTCTATATATGCTGCAGAATGGCTTTGCTCTAATTACTCTTCTGTCATATGTATCACTTCCTGCAATCTATTTGCAGTTCATGACATCAGGCAATGCTCAACAAAATTCCAATTTCTCCAGATCTTTACATATGCTACACTAATGCAAAAGACTTACACATTCCAATTAATTCAACCACTACTTTAATCATGTATAACGAGTTGTATAGAGTAGTTATTATATATATAAATGAGTAAGTGTACTTACTGCTTGTGCTTCCATGCGACTAAAGATAACATTTAACATCTGAGTCAGTGTAGCTTTAGCTGTAGTCTGATTGACTAAGTTTTTACTAGCTAGATAGATGTTATAACATGTTCTAACAGTCTGTAGTACAGTACCTTCATGTATCTCACAATTATTAGATGTCACTACAGTTAATAATGCCTATAATATATAATAAATATTTCATTAGTGAATCAATTAGTCATCGTGTGTAAAAGGCCAGCAAAGTTTGTTGTAGTCTCCATTTCTTGTGATGTGTTAAGCCTGCAACCACTTTTCCAAAAGCTCCTAAATTTACTACACAAAATGTTTTTTATCTATATTCCCTTGCATCACTGACTTTCCTTCAGAAACTTTCTTTTCCATGCTGAGGACTGGACTAGTGATATATTTGCCCCCTCTCTCTTACTGCAGCTTAGTAATGTTCATTTAATAAAATGGGTGTCTTAGACGAGATGTGACAGTGCCTATTATCTTTTTTTGGAGAGCTCACATATTACTAAACTTAAAGGCTAGCGCACACGAGAGCTCCTAGCTGAGCAAAATTTCCTTTGTGCCTCTCAGCTCAGCTCGTTGCTCTTGTGTTCGCGGAGTTTACGTAAGGTTTTTTTCATTCGAGGCGTTAAGGAAATTATCTGTCGTGTTTGATAATTTTTTCCTCGAATGAAAAATACCTTACCATGTGCGCACTCGAAAGCTTTTAGCTTTCAACTTTGAACTGGGGCGCATGCGCTAGCACGTGATCAAACAAAAATGGCTGCACCCATCGGTGAATGCGAGTTTGTATCTGAAGCAGTTATCGAAGGCAAGTTAGTGGACATATGGCCGGAATATCCATAGCTTACAAGAGCTTGCAAGTATTCTTCGTAGGCGACGACGCAACAACAAAAGAAGAAGTAAAATTTCTTCATTTTCTGAATCATTCAAAGGGTTGTCAACGTCCGACATTTTGTTTAAGTAACGTGAAAATGTCACGTGCTCTAGTTATTTTTAGACGTCTATGACTCGACACCCCGTCTACGAAAGCTCTAAGCTTAGCGTGTGCGGGGGAAACCGACGAAAGCTGCGAGCTAAGCTGGGTGACACGAATGAAATTTTTCTCAGCTGGGAGCTCTCATGTGCGCTAGCCTTAAAGTAATTACTTGATTGTCTATTATGCATACTCTATACTATAAATAAAACATACCTTTATTATCTGTAGCTGAACACCTTCATCTGTTTGAGGACCATTAAAACAACCACATATAGTTTCTACAATCCTGTCTATTAATCGCTTCCCAGGGGTGGTAGTATCTGGTACATTTCCTGTCAGATGACCGTATGCTATCAATTTCTACAATATACAAAACAACCGATTTCAACTAGGATAAGTAATAGTCCTCTATTGTGTTAATACTTTTATCGCTGAATCAAATTTTACTGATTTATTTTGTGTATTGGAATTCCAACATCAAAAGTGAACACCAGTACTTAAATATCACAAAGCAAATGATTAAATTAGGAATCATAAAAGATAACACACCATACCTGTAAACAATCCAAGGCTGTATTTACAATCCTTGAACATTTTGATTGACAGGCTAGTTCAAATGGTAAGAAGTATTTATCAGCAGCCACCACACCAGGTCTCTTTGGTTGAGGTAATGCTGATGACTCATTTTCAGGTCTGTAAAGAGAAAATCGACACCTGTTATAATCCAACCACTTGAGCACACATTTTTTTTCTGGAGTGTTTGAAAACCACTTTCACAAATGGAATTTCAAATGATATACCAAAGGTTTTCAGTTTTACATGTAAACACTTGCTCATTTTCAAGATACAAACTTTGAAATTATGATAAAATATACTTACCTCTGTACCTTAGCATCATCTTTCAACTCATCTGAAATATACAAGTCAAGTAATATCAGACAAAATGCACAGTAACCAAATGAAACTAACATTTTCCATACTTAACTTTTATTAATCATCACATTAGCAAATTTTACCTTCTTTTTGGCAATAAGCAATATCATTATGACTTAAGACATATCAAGAAACGAACATGGATTTCTCGCCAATAGTTAACTGATCACTACTGCTTTATGATTAAAACAGTCTTCAGCAAACTGTCAATTTTTTATTAAGTAGAAATACCTACATAATAGCCTACAGGGGAAAGGGAATTAATTGGCTTTGAAAATCAAATTAATTAAATTCAATGCATCTGTGTCAGTGGTATAGGTTCCTGTACTTTTGACAGATCTCAATAGCAGAACACCTCAAAGGTGGGTGTGGCATGCAATCCAGGTGGTGGGGCAGACTTACCAAGTGCCACCTCACAAGCTTTTTTCAACTGAGAATGATGAGCTTTCTTGATTTCTTTATCCGATAAAATTTTCTCTAATGCTCTAGTTAAGAACATGTTTATTTCTTCGTCGAATTACGCAATCGTTAATTTGTTTTGATTACATTTTAATCAATATTGCAACCAATGACATAAATTTGTTGTCAATTTTCTTCAGCAACATCCGCCATGCTGGAAGTCACGTGATATGAACATGTCAAAAAAAAAACAAATCTTAATAAACCTAAATGATTTTCACCTTAATTCGAATAGCAATTATCATAGGATGGTTCATTATCGGAAATTTAATTTTTAGGTCATAGATAATTATATTTATTCTTCAGAGTGAAATATTTTTCTGCGAGACCTTTGTTTACCATCAGATATACTTCCGGGTTGTCAAAATGGATTCACATAATGCCCAGAAATCGTGGGAACTTGCAAATAACATCGAAACAGTTAATTCTATCGATGATATCTATCGATATGATCGTAAACAACATCAGGACATCCTTACAGCTAAGCCGTGGGAGAAAGAGTATGTCACTTTGTCGTATTTAAAGAAGAATGAGGCTATATTTAAACAAGAACCTTTACACTACAGTTTTCTTTGACTGTTGTTTAATTTTGACAGTTGAACCAAGCTTATTTCAATGTGCATGATATTCTTTGAGCTGAGCTCAATTTAAAGTCTCAATATATGTAATTAATCTAGATTCAAGTGAGAATAAGTACAAATAGTACAAAATACTGGTAGTAGTAGTAGTATGTCAATTTTTTTGTTATGTAGACACGTTTGCCATGATTAAGCTTAATTCAAATCAACTAAAGTATTGTGCCATAATTGATTTAAACAACTTTTTGTCCATTTCAGCAACCATCACTTTAAACATATTAAGATATCTGCCTTAGCGTTATTAAAGATGGTAATGCATGCTAGGTCTGGTGGAAATTTAGAAGTTATGGGATTGTTATTAGGTAAAGTAGATGGTAATACTATGATAGTTATGGATGGTGTAGCTCTGCCAGTTGAAGGTACAGAAACAAGAGTCAATGCCCAAGCTCAGGCTTATGAATATATGGCAGCTTACACTGATGCTGCAAAACAGGTAATTAATATTGTAAGCTTATATATCACCATTCAAGGTTCAACAGGAAGAAATTAGAGATTACAGATTGTCAATATGTATGCCCTATATGGACTTATATGTCAAAAATTCGGCATTTATACCCAAGAATATGTTATGGTGTTAAGTAAGCAACTGAACTTACCTTGTGTGCTAACAATACCAAATATAATGAAATAGTCCAGCTGGGAGAAGATAGAACTTAATCATTATTTATGAATATGTATAGGTAGGAAGGTTAGAGAATGCTATAGGATGGTATCACAGTCATCCTGGTTATGGTTGCTGGCTGTCTGGTATAGATGTCAATACACAGATGTTAAATCAACAATTTCAAGAACCATTTGTGGCTATTGTGGTGAGTAGTAACAAGAGCTTGAAAGGTTTATAAATTGGGATATTAAGAGGATTGCTTTGCCAATCAAAAGACAAATAAGCATTGATTGTTGTCTGGAAATTCGTCAATTTATACTAACCATATTTTATTTCTTTTCAGATTGACCCAGTAAGAACTATATCAGCTGGTAAAGTTAATATTGGAGCTTTTCGAACTTATCCTAAGGTATTATTTCAATACATTTCTTTTCAATAAAAAGTGAATGAAATTCTTTATTACTCTATAATTGATGTATTGAGCACTATTTTAACGGTGAAAATATTTTATTTAATTATTCTATTGACATTATTATTGTGTCTAATATATGTAGATAAATTTCAGGGTTATAAACCACCAGATGAAGGTCCATCTGAATATCAATCCATTCCTCTCAATAAAATAGAAGATTTTGGTGTCCACTGTAAACAGTAAGTCAAGTTTATTGTAGTCAGCATACTTATATGGAATTTCTAGTTATCAGATATTATTTGTTAGATATATTCTATTTTAACATTTACTTTATATGTTCTATTTCGGATATTATTCATTAGATATATCCTATTTTTAAATCCTATTTGTTCTATTTCAGATATTATTCATTAGATATATCCTATTTCAAATCCTATATATTCTATTTCAGATATTATTCATTAGATATATCCTATTTTAAATCCTATTTGTTCTATTTCAGATATTATTTATTAGATATATCCTATTTTTAAATCCTATATATTCTATTTCAGATATTATTCATTAGATATATCCTATTTTAAATCCTATTTGTTCTATTTCAGATATTATTCATTAGATATATCCTATTTTAAATCCTATATATTCTATTTCAGATATTATTCATTAGATGTTAAACATTTACTTTATATGTTCTATTTCAGATATTATTCATTAGATATATCCTATTTTAAATCCTATATATTCTATTTCAGATATTATTCATTAGATATATCCTATTTTAAATCCTATTTATTCTATTTCAGATATTATTCATTAGATATATCCTATTTTAAATCCTATTTGTTCTATTTCAGATATTATTCATTAGATATATCCTATTTTAAATCCTATATATTCTATTTCAGATATTATTCATTAGATATATCCTATTTTAAATCCTATTTGTTCTATTTCAGATATTATTCATTAGATATATCCTATTTCAAATCCTATATATTCTATTTCAGATATTATTCATTAGATATATCCTATTTGTTCTATTTCAGATATTATTCATTAGATATATCCTATTTGTTCTATTTCAGATATTATTCATTAGATATATCCTATTTTAAATCCTATATATTCTATTTCAGATATTATTCATTAGATATATCCTATTTTAAATCCTATTTGTTCTATTTCAGATATTATTCATTAGATATATCCTATTTCAAATCCTATATATTCTATTTCAGATATTATTCATTAGATATATCCTATTTGTTCTATTTCATATATTATTCATTAGATATATCCTATTTGTTCTATTTCAGATATTATTCATTAGATATATCCTATTTTAAGTCTGCGTTAGATTGTAAATTATTGGAATCTTTGTGGAATAAATATTGGGTCAATACACTCAGTTCATCAAGTTTACTCACAGTAAGTAAAAATTGCAATTTGCCCTGAAATGATTTTAAACCCTTTTTGATGAAGTGTTTCCTTATTACTAACATTTCTCTAAACTTGTATAACTCAAAAACTCTTTATGTGTATTGGGGACACTGAAAGCAATTATTGTGCTATTTCAATTTTCAACCAGACGTTCAGATTGGTTGCTGCAATTTCATTATTATGAAGATGTTACTACTAGCAAAATATGCTTTGTCACATAAGGGCCTTCGCGATTAGTGACGTCATCAATTACATAAAACAATTAAATTGTGCTTGCATTTAATTCATGTATAGTATGCCCATTAAATTATTTGTGTTTTTCAGAATGCTGAGTACACAACACATCAGATCTTTGATTTAGCTGATAAATTAGAACAATCTGAAGCTCAGTTAGGTCGTGGTAGTTTTATGGTTATGGGTATTGATTCACAAGAAAAGAAATCTGAAGATAAATTACTCAAAGCTAAGAAGGATGGGTAAGACAATTTTAAATTAACAAAATATTAGGGTAGTATTTATTCAAAGTCAATCTAATTTAAACTAGACCTTCTGAAAAAATAGTTAATACATTTTTATTTTATTTGCAAGTAATTTGTACAGTAGTTTAAACTTGTGGGTATCCAGTATTATTCTACAAACTATTCTAGGAATTTCTCCTACCTTGTTCTGATTGTTTATTTTCTGTTATTTTTAGATGTAAAACTACAATAGAAGCTATACATGGTTTAATGTCACAAGTTATAAAAGATAGATTGTTTAATCAAGTTCACCTGAAACCTTAATTATCTGTTGTCAATGAAAATGTTTAATGTATATAAAAGTGCTATATAAAAATCTTTTTGAGGTTATATTAAGAATCAGATTTTCCAACAACTTCATGTAAAAATAGATGCTTGTAACCTTTTAAACTAAGAAATCCCCGAGCCCTGTGTCACTAAAAATGTTATGATCAATTTTGTTCATAAATTTTACTTTTTGTGTGAGCCAGTTTCCTATTCTTTACATATTTGCAGATATAAAAACCAGGCCATAGCCAACAACTCACCCTCTGATTTTACATATTTTCATCACACTCCTTTTACCTATACTAAATTGTGATGATAACATAAATCCCAAACTCTGGCAGATAATGTTCACATCCAGGTATATATCCCATCATAAACAAGAGCAGTCCATTATTTTTTAGGTAGAATAAATGGAAAATGAAACTTTACAGGTCAGTGCTGTAATGTGCTATTGTCATCTAAACTCCCTTGAAATAAAGTGGTCTGTTATGTCTTTGGTTTGAATCTTTAAGAATGTGCATAAATAGAAATTTTTTTTTGAACCAATGAAATTGTCAAAACATTTTGTTTGCTATTAACTTATTCATTCCTTAAAGAAAAAAAAAATAATAAACAAAAACATTTTTTATTTGGTAAATCTGTTGAACAGTGAAAATTTCAATATTAAATACTAAATAAATAGTTCTTTCTAACTTTGTACATAGTTCTTAATGCTCTTCTAAATATCTCTATATGAAAAAATATCAGCAAAATCTAAAAAGCTTGGCTCAAGTTTTAAATGCCAATTTTCAACTGTGGAGTGATATAGAAGCTTGTAAATTAAATTATGTACATGTATATTAAAACTTTGTAAAATAACTTTTTATTTTACATGGGTCAAAATTAGGTCCATAACACCAAATGACATGGTTCTGTCTAATATTCAGCCCATGGGGACACATAGATACAATATATAATACAAACTTAATATACCTAATATATTGATGTACAGAAAATTCAACAATCCAGGGCAAAGAGGTATCAATTTTTCAAAATATAAATTAAATTTGTAATGAATATACTGTCATTGTCAACATTAAATAAAATTATTGATTCCCTTTAAATTGAGGTAACTAAATATTAAACATTTAACAAGGACGAATAACAATTAAAACAAAATATAATATATTCGGATCATCATGCAAAATATAAATAAAGGACTAAAGGACTGTGTCCAGTAAAATCATGATTTGTCTTCATAAATAACTTAAAGGGATTGTAAAGAGATTTTCTATATTTTTTCATGTGTATTGGAGGACACTAATAGCATCAATTTGCACCTTTCAAATTGGCAATCAGATGTCTGTGGTTCCTACATTTCCACTAGTAATAAGTGTTATATGACATCACTTATCGCAAAATATGTTTTATCACATAAGTCTCTTGTGATTAGTGACACCATCAAACACTTGTCCCTGATAAAAATAACAAATTTAGAAAACCTCTTTACAATTACTTTAAAAGATAACCATGTGGGCATTAAAATACTATTAAATTGAAGGTAGATAAGAAAAGTATCTTGTGTAATAGACTGATGGAAGTTGTAAACACAATATGCGTGTCATATTATATATAATCAGGATTAAGTAAAGTAAAATCATGAGCACAGTTAAATTGAACAAATTATGCTAAAATACTTTTGCTCCCCTTTAACAAGGGTGGCGCTCAATTAGAGAGTTCTGAACAGGTTCCATCTATTCCAATTCGACCTCATTAAAAATGTTCTTATTTCCTTCCATGCCATTTTAAATTCTGTGTGTATCTACTATTTTTTCAACACACATGGAATGCATTTTGAAATCTGTTCCAACTGTTATTGAACGTTCGGTTGATTCCATGAATACAGAACTCAACAATTGAGAGGCTCCTTAAAAAACTGATTAATTATTAAAGCTATAAAACTAATGAAATAAAAAATTATTATCATTGTCAAAAACAGATATATTTTGTAAAACCAATAACTTAAAAGTCTATACATGAGATAGAGATTAATTTGAGTCATTCTAAAGCTCCCTCCTTTCTGAAATTGCGTTACCATGACAGTAAAATACACTTACAATTCCTAGAAAAATGTAACTCCTATAAATACTTTTTAACTATGAAATATATTCCGAATTGAAATTTCATATCTTCCATGAAACCCCTACCAAATATATGTTATGTTTGTTATTTAACAAATATTAATCATTTCACTCACATAAACATGTTAATCTTGAATTAATAAAATATAAACCAGTTTTCACCAAAATTACTCTGAAGTACACATGTTCTGATCTCAAAATCAATTAAACTCCAACACTCAATAGTCCTGCAACTGAGATAATTAAAGTTGAGTACCTATCTCAAAATCAATTAACTTCAAACACTCAATTAGTCCTAGATAGAGGAACTTCAGGAAATGGTGAATAACTTATACTTAATATTTTCTACTTACTAAAGTAAGTACTAAATTAGTCTGTATATTATTAGTTAAAGAGTAAAAACTTCCAGATAGATACAAGTAAGATTTAAAATGATGACAAATTCCTGAGACAAATAAGGCTTATGTGGTACTAATATAACGAACCATTTCAAAATATGTATCATAATATATTACAAAAATATGAAGATAAAATGTTTTTGAGGTTTATAATATATATGTAGTACAAATCATTTTGCAAAATTCCTTTATCGTTGAATAACATATTCCATAGTTTGATTTGAAAAGGTAAAATGAAAAATATTGTACATCAGAAATAATCTAAAAAGTTGACAGAAAATGACAATCATGAATACAGAAACCCTTATAATAATAATCTATTTATAATCACTTTAAAGGGATTGTAAAGAGGTTTTCTAAATTATTTATGTGAATTGGGTCACTGACAGCATCAATTTGCACCATTTCAATTTTCAATCAGATGTCTTTGGTTCTTGCAATTCAACAAAAACTAAGTGCTTGATGATATCACTAATTGTGAAGGCCTTGTGTGATACAAGCATATTTTGTGATTAGAGACGTGATCAAACACTTAGTTTTATTGGAATTGCTAGAACCCAGACAGCTGATTGAAATGGGAATAGTGAAAATTGATGCTATATGGGTCCCTGATAAACATGAACAATTTTAGAAAACCTCTTTAGAATTCCTTATATTATATACATTTGTATGGTCATAATTGTCATTCTCCCAAATAATAAAACAAAATCTACACCATAGATATTAAATGTTATTGACATTTTATTAAATAAAGAAACACCAATGAATGGTATACTACTCCTACGTTTCAACAATCTACATTTTCAGATGAAACACAGGAGTAGTATACTATACCATAAAATTAGATTTTTACTCTGACAAATGTGAAGGTAAAAAATTCTGTTATCTATGGTCTAGGTTAGCACACTAGGAAGATTTTTACCTTTTTTACAGTGAATATCTGAAAATAACAGCAGGAAAATCAAATTCTGTAAAATATCTAAAATAAATAATTTGTTGTAATGAGCAAGAGTAAGCGAAAGCGGAATGGGAGAAGCTAACTGAGAGAGAAAGCTGATGGCACTTGTAGTAGTAGCGTAGCTGTTGCCATGTAAACATAATCATCTATATCTTTATTTTGTAATGATTCTCTTTGTTTTTGGCAGCGCTCGATTGGAGAGTTCTGAACAAGTTCCAATTCTGCTCTCAATCGAAGGGAATGGAAGCAGAATATGTCACTTTCAAAATTTTCCCATCTCCGACATTTTGAATTCTATCTACACCTATTATTGTTTCGGCACACGTTCCAACTTGTTTTATGGAACGTCCAGTTGATTCCATCAATCCAGACCGTCCAGACCTCACGCATCGAGCTACCCCTTTGTGACTAGTATAAGAAAGTTATACTCCCTATACTTTAAGATTTAATAATGGTTGAGACGCTTCACCTTCTGAATCTGTATCACATGTAGCTTCTTGACTAATGAAATTATTATCACTATCTGACTTATTGGTATCACCAGTATCGTTACTGTTCTTCAATGTGGGAGGATTCTGGGAGGATGTGTCTTCAGGATTTTCAAACAAATCAGCTAATTTTAACTGTAATTGCTCCTCTACTTCAATATTCTCATCTCTTTCAGCTGATTGATCTTTGTTCAATACCTGCATTTGAATTTCTTCTAGATCTATTGAAGATGGTTTCTTTAAAATCCGATCCAATTCTTTCAATTCCTTTTGAATGGACGGATCATCGTCATCTGCTTTTGGTGGTTGATTCTCTTTGACTTTGTCTTTACTGATATCATCTGGATAGGTGACTACCTCAAAATTACGATTGGATCTAGATGTAGTCAATGTTTCCTCTTTAGTTTGCTCTGGTACTAAAGATTCCAAACTCTGCCCAGAAAGATCATAATTGCAGTTAACTGACTGAAATAAAGGATACAAAAAAAAATGGGGTGTTAGGGGGTGAAAACCAACATTGGGACAAATCTTTCGGAAGCACTGGCACAGGTATCAGAATTTTTCTTACCTTGAGTAGGTTTAACTCTCATTTTTTTCAATACAAAAAGAAGTATGATGTACATTGTCATTGATCAAACAAACAAAAAACATTTACCCATAGCGCTAATTGACCTAATTATTAATAATAATAGAGATTAAACTAACTGTATTTAGACGGCGAGTTATATCTTGTACATCCTTTTGAGCTGCAATAATCTACAAACAAAAGAAAACACATGGTACATATTGGAGTTTTAAACCTTTCTGTTTAGTTTGGGTTTCTGAATGCTGCATAAGGAAGGCATGAAGTTGTCCATATATTTGTCAATATATAACATATATGTCGTTCAAAACCTCTATTTGTCCATATATATTTTAGATATATGTATAATTCTCAAGAAAAAATCATTTAGAGCACTCAGTATTTTATTCAAAATGGCAGACATGATGACTTTCTGATCAGCAGACGGATAGAGAGAAGGGGTGTTGAAAACAATAGATCCATGAAACTAATAAAATAGGCCCTCACACCATAGCGATCACCAGTTTAGTATGGTTACGAAGAAGAATAGCAAGTCTCATGCAACTGAGTTGTGAGTTGCGTTCAGAACTTCCTCAGAACCACTTTCATTAGTCGCAACCATACACAACTGGTACATAAGTAAGCATCATCCCAACACTAAATAACATAATAACTTAATCAACAATAAATAACATCAAAAATTATTCTAAAGTTTGTAAAAAAAGATAAAATATACCTCTAATTTCTTTCTATTTATCATTTGAACATTGTTAGGGAACAGTTGGATTTTATCATTGTTGTCTGCATCTTTGGTAACTGTTTGCTGATTCTGTCTGTTTGCCAAGATTCTATGGAACAGAGCCCTCGATTCGTAATTCTTATGTGTTTGGTAAGACTTTCTTGCAATCTAGGCAATAAAAGAAATGTCAAAAACACACTTTATGTTAGTCCATGTTCAAAAACTTTCTTCCACTTCCTAGCTTCCAGTTAGTACTTTGACAGATATCTCTGACCATGAAAGAAAAGCTCACTTTTTTATACACATGATGTCACTTTGCACCAGGGCCTGTCAGCTAGTCAGCCCTTTCGGAGAGTAAGAAGGAGGGAAACGGACAAAGGCCCCTTAAAAAAGAATGTATTTAAGAATCCCAATCTTTGTACTTACTTTGATATCATTATGGAAGAACTCAGTAAAAGTATCTTTTTCCTTTAAAGGTACCACTTCTTTCACCTAACAATAAACACTTTCAGTATATTCCATTCCAATAGATATTCTGTTATCAAAATATTTTGTAAGATCAAACTCACAAATGCCCTTTTGGCAACTTTTGCTGACTTCATCTAGTCTCTAACATTCCATATTATTATAATTTTGTTTCGTTATGTCGGTCTCCATTTTAATCTAAAGCTAATTATACCCCGACGTACTGGCGATGTTTCCAGCTATTTATAGCAGACAATCACGTGCCACTCTGCTACCAATCAGAACCACTATTACAAATGATTATGGGCAGTCTCATAATCACATTGGTCCTATTGTTCTACTTTGGGTATTGGTATCCAACAATTCATAGTCAATATTTAGACACTGATGTATGAGACGTTGTGATTGGTTGAAATGAAAATCAACAGTATGTGTCTTGGGTATAAATCTTTTTAGATTACAATAGAGACCGACAAAAAAAATAATGAAACGAAATTGTAATTCTTTTTGAATTAGATTGGTAATTTGCTAAACTCTAAAATATTGACCTCTAGTTAAAAAGTATTAACTTACCTTTAATACTAAAAAGCCCATGAGTAGTATAGCTACTATATTTAACATAGTTAAAATCAAACTAATAAATCCCAACATAGCTGCCTCTTTCCACATATCACAGAAAAAATTTGGTTGATAGGTATTGTCTATGAACTCAAAATGATCACATAAATCATCCGTTAGATTACCTAACTACAAAAAATATATCAAAAGTACAATTTTAGCCATACATAGTACTCTTTACAATAAAAATCTGCAACTGGTTTGTTTACAATTCAGGAAAAAAAGGTACCAAAAGGCATTCATAATCTGCAGAATGTCGTTCAAATGAAGGTCTGGAAAATTGAAAATGACATTTCAATAAACAACTAATAGAATTTGAGTGATGTCGTAAATTGGCAGTTTTTCTGGATTAACATGAGAAATATTCTTCCGACCGTAAAAATGGGAACAGTGGAAATAAGAGTTTTAAGTGTATACCTGTCACCTAAATACATCAGCAACTTTTGATAATAAAAATAAAACTTACTGAATCAGTTGGAACAGTACTAGGTGGACTAATAGCTGTCATTATACTATATGCCCACAGCATTCCCTATAATAATATACTCTACAACATCATAATATTCCAGGTTATGTGAGCAAATTAGAAATCTCCCCTTATCCATTGGAAATGGACATAATTTCCTGTTAGGTTCTATAATACTATGCAGTGTACAATGAGGACACCAGGGATTTTCAATGTATACAGGGACTTGATTTATTATCCTATCCATAGCATGAAACATTTTTTACTATTGCATGACTGGCATTGCATGACAGGCATTGCAATAGTTGTGCCTCACTTGTTAAGTCACTTGCTACAATTCAAATATATTCATTTATGAATTACAGCAATACTTACAGCATTAACAGCTGGTGGAAGTAAGGAAGCAGATATAGCCACACCAACTAGAGATCCCATATTACCACCTAATACAGATAATGCCACTCCAGCACCAGACGGTATAGCTATTAATATACCAACACCTAAACTACGTGGTGTACCCCTATCAAATATAAACAACATGATATTACAGATAGTATGCTCATATTGACTTTATATTGACATCTTCTGCACTGCTTATACACCTTAATCCAGTTAATTTCTTACATCTAAGTGTAATGAAACCTTATGAAGATAACTTTTACCAAAAACGCTAAGGAATATTCGACACATGCTTGAAGATGGGATCAGATCAACTGGATTCATCCATATTTCTAAGAAAATTGACCAGAGGATAAGATCCATTTTTTGCTAGAAAGATGGAAATGATTATCTGAAAGGTACCAGGTGGAAACTGCCATATTTTTGTCTTTGGTGCTCTCAGCAAACCTTCATCATTACAATTATGCACACAGAGCACAGGGAATTATATATATTTAGTATGAGTGAGCTATTATAACTATAATAATATAGAAATAAAAATATAACCAACCTGGAAGACATTTCAATAGTAGGGAATTCCTCTGTGATTCTCCAACTAGTACCTATCATAGTTAACCCTGCTGGTAATAGACCAAATATAAAACCTGTAAAATAATAAATATTACATCAAACTTCCATCCCATTTCTTAAGTCCAATTAAGTTTTGAATCAATTTTGCTCAATAAGAGTTAACATCAGAAAGTTTGAAACAAAGGACATACATATCTAGTGTGGGGCTCGATTGGAGAGTTCTGAACAAGTTCCGTCTGTTCCAATTCTGCCCTAAATCAAACGGTACCGAAGCAAAATATATCACATTCAAAATTGTCCATTTATTTCCTTCTACACCATTTTTAATTCTGTCTGCACTTACTATTTGTTTGGTACATGTGAAACGCGTTCTGTACTTTGTTCCAACTTGTTTTTTTGAAAGTTGATTCCGTAAATCCTAAATGTGCAGAACTCACTAATCAAGTGACTCCTAAGAAATGTCAAGGAATGGCATCATGATACTACAGTAGTAGACATTAGGATAGTCATATTGCTCTTTTAGCAATGCATGCATCACATATTAGCTGTGTAAACCCTCTAAAAAGCTAAGAATAAAAAGTGGTCTCTATGACACTCACCACAAGATATACATACTGCTAATCCTATCAATTCATTCTTTAACCCTAGTTTCCATAGAGACGGATTCTTAATAACAGACCCAAACACAATGGCTAAAATAGGACCCTGAAATTATTAGAAAAAAGCTTACAAATGTGTACCGATTTGGAAATTGGTCGCTATGGATACTAACTTTCCAATTGAAACATCAAAACCTTTGTCATCAGACTGTTATTCCTACACATGAGAATATTAAAGGGATTATAAAGAGGTTTTCAAAACTTTTTATGTGTATTGGGGACACTGATAGTATCAATTTGCTTCTGGTGACGTCATAAAACGTGTTAGTTTTAGGGCAATTGCAAGAACCACAAACGTAGGAATGAAAATTTGACTGGTGCAAATTGAAGTTATCACATAAAAAATTTAGAAAACCTCTTTACAATCCCTTTAATAATGGCCTCTCATAACTTATACTGTACATTTTTCCTTCATAACAGTCAAACCAGATATCAAATTTCATTCTAAAAGCTTTGTTGCTTGTGGGTAAAACATGGCAGATGATTGGTCAATATTGAGCTGTCAATCATTTTTGCGCATCTGTGAATTATAACTTAGAAATACCTACCATAAGAGGTGATATCAACATGCTAGCTACTAATACAACTGAACTACTCTCTATCAATCCAACAGCAGCTATTAAACTAGCTAGAAATGTTAAGACTAAATAATCAAATGTTAATGCTGCACTAGTCTTCACTGATTGTACAACCTAAAATACAAAAACATCTTATAGATTCTTTCTCCTAGGTAAGTAAACTTATTACCTTCAAGCTTAAAACTTCAGGTAAAATATTTAGCTTTTTCCAAATATAATTTTACAAAACTTGTGTTCCAATTCACATAATAATATTCTGAAAAATTACTACCAACAAAAGTGCGAGGACATGGGGTGGAGATGTTTCAAGTTTGGAGGTTTTTATATTTTTTTTAATCAATTTTTGGGGGTTTAAGAAGGAAGAAGTTTGAAAGAAGAATGATGGCTGAAGCTAACCTGATCTACTACTAGTCTAGATTTCACTGATTTCTTAAAATCATCATCTTTAACTACATCTTCTCCACTAGAATGACTGAAAATATTTGTCTGAGTTAGTACAACTTAATAGTTTGTGATATCAGTATACACTGGAAGCGAATGTTAACTTGTCATCTACCAACCAAGGACCACTGAAAATTATGAAAAGTCTCATCTTGGTCTTATCCTTACATAATTCTAAAAATATTGCTTTTGCCACTATTTATGTGAACCCTTCATAAACCAATACTGTCTACTCTCAGAAAATTTATTAGTATCTACATCAACATGATGTACTTACTCTTTTAGTTCTTCATTATTTTTAGTATCTGTATCGATATCATAGTAAATACTCACTGGTATTACACTGAAATAGTCAGATATATATTAATTAAATATAAACATTTCATCATTTTAAAAATAGACTCTCCAAAGCTGAATGTGGAATCCGAAGCTCTTCATTTAGGTCAAAAAGAGGAGAACACATCTCAGGTGCATACAGTTGCATTTGAAACTTTCATTATTTGCAATCATATCCAACCAATGATCACTATGGTGTGAGGATATCTTTAGAAAGCAAATAAACATGACTACAAACCTGATAGAAGACTTATCTTTAAGACCTACTCCACATGATTTTAAAAACTTTAAAATCAATTCACAACGACTGCCAGATTCTTCCACAAATGATACCTAAATAAAAATATCTTTACATACCTTCATCAAAAGATGTAAAGGATAGTATTAAAAAAGTTTAAATTAAGCTGCAAATGCAGTTAAAGGAAGGTGTGCACCATTCTTTTGACCAATCATACCTCATTCTCAGTAACTTTTAAGGGAATTTTTTAGCTAAGCCATTCAGTAATAGTGTTCACAGCTAACCGTCGAAATTTGAGCCTTCAAATCCGTGTGTGTCCAGAATTATCCGTATTTGAGACACTACCCTATATATACAAAAGACATTTATAGACATAGGAAAATAAATTCCTATTATGAGATATTTTTGAAGGAATTATGAGAATTTCGTACATTTCTAGTACTTCTGAAGTCTATTTACATATATTCAAGACTCAAATCAATCCCTCAAAATGGCACATCTGTCCCTTTAACTTTGTCCACCAAATTATTGATTAAATATTTACCTTGTAACAAAGTTTATCTTCAGTCATAATTATAACAGAATTTTTAATATCTAAATAACTTATTGTTTCTTTTACTGACTGAAATAGAAAATGAACGAATAAGATCATTTGTGTCTATCCTTTTTAATATCTGCCTGCCTTTACTAGCATACAACTGTTCATTATATCTACCAGAGGCAGATACACCGATTGTAAACTATTGATACCTGACCATGCTCATCTTGGAATATCCTATCACAATGTATTGATAGAGTCTCAGTTGTTTTGTGATTTACAAGCAAAATTCAATGTTTTAACTAACCGAGCTACAGCCTTAGAACTAACTAGCAAGTTTCAACATATCATAATACACTTACCTCTAAAAGTGTTGAAGTTTGTTCAGGAATAAATTCCACCATACTAAATTGGTGTTCATATTTGGGTGTATTTCTACTGCTAGTTGACAATTTCCTTTCGGTACTATAACCAGAATTGTCATCTGATATATTTCCAGAATTTTCACCCGAGTTTTCAATTGAGTTGGAGCCAGAATTTTCAGTTGAGTTTTCAATTGAGTCACAGCCAGAATTTTCAGTTGAGTTGCAGCCAGAATTTTCTTCTGTAATGTTGTCAGATTTTTTACCTGACTTCTGTTTTAGTGATTCAAACTGTACTTTTCTACCAAATTTGTTTTTTTCTATTAAAAATTGGAAATAAAAATACATTTATATATATATATATACAGATATTTGACTTCAGTTATATATAATTTTGAATTCATTTTGCCCTTCTTTTTTTTTTAATGATTTCAAAATATCATGTTAAATAAAGGACAATTATGCTTTTCCCTAGATAATTATGAACACACAAACCAAACTATTTGGTGAAAAAAAGTGGTATTAGTAATCATAAAGTGAGATCAAAGTGATTGTAAAGAGGTTTTTCTAGATTTTTTATGTGTATCAGGGACACCGATAGCATCAATTTGCACCATTCCAATTTGCCACTAAAACTAAGTGTTTAATGCAGTCATTAATCGCAGCATATGCTTTATCACATTAGGCCCTTTGCAATTAGTGATGTCATCAAACACTTAGTTTTAGTGGTATTCAAGGAATCACAGATATCATCTGATTGAAAATTGGAATGGTGCAAATTTTGCTATATGTGTCCCTGATACACATAAAAAATGTTAGAATTTGTCATAGAAAAGCAATTTTGTAATTCATCAAATTAAAGCAGATGGAATAAAAGTTTAGAATTATTTATAACTGTACATAAAAAATGTATATGAATCAAAATGAAGCATTTCCTTTTTGAAATAAAACTAATCCATCCATAATAGTTTTCTACCTTTTGATTCATCTGTTTTCGTGGTTTTTTCTGACTTTTTGTCATTCTTGCTTTGTTCAAAATCAGGATTCTTTGATTCAGTGGAATTTGGGTCATCTTTTACCTTCTGTACTGCAAATTGATCTTTTTTCTTCTTACGTTTGCTTCTCTTTTGAGGTTGTTTTATATCTTCATCCTTGTCACCTCCATTATTCTGTCTATCTGAAGTTTTCTCAGTTTCTGGTTTATTCTGGTTTGATTGTTCTTGTGTTTTCATTTCACCAGAAACAGTTTTCTTGAGATTTGTTTTATCCTTGTCATTTTGGGGTTGGTTTTGTGCATCTTTTTCGCTTGGTTTTTGGTTTTGTGACTGTTTCTCTCCATTAGCAGGTGCAGTTTTCTCAACATGCTTCGCTTGATCTTCATTTTGTTTCTGATTGTCTCTATCATCTTTTCTAGATGCACCATTTTTTTCAGGCTCTGTTTTATTCTTATTTTCATTAGATGGTTCATTTTGTGGATTATTTTCATTGAGATTTAGTTCTGTTTCTTTTGATAGTTGATCTCCAGTAATAACAATTGGTTCATGGGAATGCTTATCCACCTTTTTCACTGTAAACTTTGTGTCTGCTGCTGTAGAGACCTGTTTGACACCAACACTATTAGACTTTGTACCAGCTGAATTCACTTCTTCACTTGAGCCATCTTTCTTTTTAGAATCTTCTGTTTCTGTACCACTACATCCTTTATCAGTATCTAGAAATGTATTAAAAATCTGATTCACAATGGCACACTGTTAGTTACACACAAGTGAAGCAAATGATATCAAACAGTGTAGGCTAGAGTTAACACACATAGAACAGAAGAAAACAAAAGACAATTGTTAATGATTTCTATCCTGATTATTTTCCCTCATATTTTGAGTTTCGAATCAGGTCTCGGGTTAAAACCTACTTATATCAATAGATAGGCTATTAGTAGGTTTATCTTACCTTATGTTAATTTTAAATTGTTCCGGTAGTAAGGTAACAATATTGAAAGTTTTCATGTAAAAACTTTTTGTGAATATAAACGTGATTAACAAACTTGCATGAAACTATAAATTGGATCTTCCATTCATGGGCAATAGGGCAATGTCATTCATAAATAAGTAGCCTACACTTAGGTCTTAATTAAAGCTTGGAGTACCGTATATAATGACTGTCATTACTCCAAGATTATAAAGTGAGTAGACCTATATAATAAAAGTTCATGTCCTACTTGTGAATATTTATAGATCTATTAATGAAACAGGATTATATTGCATTGGGACTATTCCAAAATTACAAAGCATAAAAGAACTAAGAAGTACTTCCTAATAGAAGTATCTAATTTTATACTAAACAATTATGTCTGAAATTTTCGGACTATATTTTTTCATTTGTACTTTTGTACTTTTATTTTAGTAGAGTAAATGCATTTGTAAAATCAAGCTACAAAACAAGAACTCGTATGTAGATGAGCACTCACCGTCATTCTTTCCATTAATTTTAGACTTCTCTTCCGAATAATTCCACTCCCCGATTTCATCTTCCTCTTCACCATTATTGGCATCAGATTCAGTGTCTCCCTCCCCGTCCATATCACTGTCTGAACCTCCGGATTCCTGTCTTTCCTGAGTAACATTCTGTATGTCTTCTTTTTCTGCTGGCACAATTACTTCAAATAAAACGAATGACATTCCTTAATGTGATAGATCATGCGGCCAACAGGGAACAAGGTCAACTTTCAATCATTTACACTTAGTGAGATAGTCTATTTGTATTAGGCGGTGCTATGCACAGTTTATTCCCTTTATAACAAAGTAACGGACTAAGGTAGGTAAATTCTGCCGTATTGTCTTTACAGGGGAAACTCGCTTAAAACTGATCCAGATAATCTATGAACCACATTTTCAACCAATACGAGTTCTAATTGAATGTAGGCTACCAATCTAAATTACTGTCACATCTTAAATTAACTGAGGACCTCTAAAAAACTAATAGCCTAAATTCCAACATGCAATGATAAGATCTAATACAATAAACATCAGTCCATTAAAAGATAACCCAGCAGACAAGATAACACACATCCACTGCAGCAATCAGAAATAAAGTAGACACATCCACTGCAGCAATCAGAAATAAAGTAGACCACTTGAATTAAATTTTGACACATTCGGTCATTTCAAGGGCAATGTTGACTGACAGTGGTGTAGCCATGATTTCATTGATTGGGAAGCCATCCGAGTACCTCCACTCCCCACTGGATTTTAGAAGGCAGAAGTCATGGTGGGGGCCCCTTGAGAATTTTCCAATTTTGCAGGACAGAGAATAAATCTTACACCATTTTGGCAAAGAAAGTAGAATTGCATTCACCACTGATGATACTCTTTTCTTTCATAAGCCCACAACAAAAAATAATCTAACCTTAATTTTGTCTGGTCATAGCCTGATACCATAGTGATATGGGATAACAGATTTCCCCTCACCCGGTCTATTCAAGCTAGTTAGACATAGAACTGATGTTGATATCCAGCCAAATTTCCATCTTCAAGAAATGAAAACCTTCTTGACATGATGTTCATTGTAAACGAAGTGATGGTGGAGTAGTCAGTTACCCCAGGGCTCAACTGCTAAGTTACCCCTCAAATACTATGGGAAAAAAACATAACTCTAAAATATGTTTATTCTATCTTTATATCTATATGAAAGACACATTCAGTATTAGGTTTACTTCATAACTATACACTTCACATATATACTCAACAGATTCAATATTTTGGTTCATGGTGGAATGTGGTACTCATTTAGAATGATGCATTCAGTTTTATATATAATCAACCAATTACATTCTGACTTAGAATGACAAATGCACCATTTTGGGAGGTTGATTAGAGTTTTGAATATAAGTAAATAATCTTCGGAGGTACAAGAAATATATGAAAATCGCATAATTCCTTCTCAACTTCTTTTGCTATTTCTATAGATGTCTTTTCTATATATGACAGTGTCACAAGAAAGCGACTATAGAATGGACTTCAGTTGGTCATTTTCTCCTACTCCTGGTCTTTTTGAGGATATCCCGAGGATATCTCCGTTTTAAATAAATATAATACACATAAAAGTTTAAAACAAAATCGAAGTACTAAATATAAATAAAACTCTATAAAAAAACATCAAAAATCTTAATAAAACTCAACTAACAAGTTGGATGTTAAAAACTAAGGCAATATGTACGTGACATACCGGTAATATTAACTCAGGGAAATTTTTTTTAAATCAAAAAACGTAATATAACTCAAGCAAAATGCAAAATTTTGGTATATTGGATATAATTTCCAAATGTTATAAATTATCAGGCCAAAATTTTGTATATGATTTAACTCAGGCAAAAATCAGGCAAAATTTACATAAATCATCTAAATCAGGCCAAAATTTTTTATGAATTTGTTAAATCAAGCCAAATTTTGTTTAAATTTTTTAAATCAAGGCAAAACTTTTGTATATAATTTAACTCAAACAAAATTGAGTATATAATCTAACTCTTATATCACATCATTCAGATCCCATTTTTAGACGAAAACCTGAAATCATTTCATCTAGTAAAACATAAAAACAGACATTATCAATGTTATTATTACCATTGTCACATGCAGACAGACTGCTGACATCTCAATATGGTTAATATCTACATGGAAGTAAACAGCAAGGCTATTATTAACACTATCTTGGGTATGCTTTTCTGTAATAGCAGATAAACGTCAACTTTTTATCTCAATATTTTGAAATACGTCTTAAATTCCTTCTTGCATATTATTATAATACATCATATCTGCATACACTATAAATACATTAAGATCACAAGTTATATGGATATACTACTTCTAGTTTTATTACATACGTTTCGAAACACATACATATAACTTGTGTTCTTAATATTTACCTTCCTGCTTCTATATGTCTTACAAAGATTACTCTAAATACATTTAATGACTTTCTTATCTTTAAACACTTCATAATCTGAATTCATTTTAAAAAGTGATACAGTTACATGTATTTGAAACCAAGCTCTTTAATACATTTAATACATGTACAATTATTTATGTTGAAACAACCTGACTTATACATTTAAATATCATTTTATTATCCTTATAAACTACGAACTTTTCACATTCATGTATTTTACATTTTTGTCATTTCAAATATTGATCCCCACTATAATATTCATTAATAATCAATTTCTAAAGCATTACTTATTATTATTAAGCATGTATTTCAAAATATACCTCAATTATTTATAAAAATCACAAAAGCTGTATTAGAAATATTAAAACAGAACCTGAAACATGTTGTTTCAATTAATGCAATCTTCAAACAACTGATCTATTTCAGTCAGCATGAAACTTTGAGTTATATGTTTCAGATTCTGTAATAATTTATTTATATCTTTTGATGTATTGAGCACTATTTTAAAATTGAAAATATTCTGTTATTGTAAAAGCGTTATTATGTTAAATTCCATCATTTGATGTTTTCTTTTCTAACTCTATTACTTCTGTAGTGGAAGCTTAAAGTATATCCTGGAAATTCTGCAATTTGACTACAACCACTAGTTTAGCCTATATACATACATGTGTATTTGAGAATATTTTATTATGATGCAAAGACACTATCACAACTCTATAGCAAACACAGATATAAAATCTGATGGAAATGACAAGCTTAATTCTATCTACTACTTAAATCTTGTATTTTATCATAGAACAAAACTTCGCAAGATATGCTTTGTCACATAAGGGCCTTCAAGAATGGTGGAATCGCAGGAACCACAGACCTCAGATTGAAATTTTGAATGGTGCAAATTGATGCTATCAGTGTTACTATACACATAAATATTAAAAAAACCTCTTTACAATCCCTTTAATACAGGTATATGTAAGTAAATTAGACATAGAATTAGACTTGACATTTCCATTAACAATATTATGCTGTTAGAAAACATTGTTTGATTATATATTACGAGATCATTATCTATTTTCATACAAATATTTATACAATTTTGTATATTTTTATACAATTTTCACTAACCTTTATATTGTACATTGTCCTGAAAAATATACAATATAATCTAAGAACACTTATCAATATCAAATACTTGAAATACAATAGATTTTCACAATTTACATACTTCTAATACCATTTTACACTATAAATGTATATAAAGTTTACTTTTTTAAGGTTATTATTTTTGTACATTGTACATTAATTTATAAAGGATAACACAAGGTTTACATGTACATATGATGTGTTGACATATTCATAAGGTTTAAGTACTCTTGAAATTTTAAATGTACACCATTAGAAATTTCTAAAATGTATAAGTTTAAAATAGTAAATATGTATTAAAGTTAATTCAAATAAAAGTTTAGACACTTTCTAAGGTTAAAATAATCCTTGATAACATTTAGAATTTTTAAACCTTTTTATCTGAATGTAGTTTTAGCAACTTATTATCTGAAACCTTTTTAAGCATACTGTTTATTTCAACATAATTCTGAATATTTAATACTTTCTTATCTGAATTAATCTCGAAACACCTTATAATCTGAAGAAATCTTAAACAGTTTGTTACCTGAATAAATCTTAAACAGTTTATCTGAATTAATCTTAAACAGTTTGTTACCTGAATAAATCTTAAACAGTTTGTTGCTCAAATTAATCTAACAGTTTGTTATCTGAATAAATCTTAAACAGTTTATCTGAATAAATCTTAAACAGTTTATCTGAATAAATCTTAAATAGTTTGTTATCTGAATAAATCTTAAACAGATTATCTGAATAAATCTTAAATATCTTGTTATCTGAATAAATCTTAAATATCTTGTTATCTGAATAAATCTTAAATATCTTGTTATCTGAATACAACACTAATAACCCTTGAACTGCCCTAATCAGTCTTATTGTGATTAATATTATTATTTTGTTGATTATTGTCATGTATTTTCCGACAAGCAACAGATCTAAAGTACATCACAGCTATCATATTTAATACAATAGTTAATAATACTGCTCCGAATGAATTTATTAAGGTAGGCTCTGGTAATCTGTGTATTTCAGCCCAGTTATTTTTGATATCTTCATAAACAGCATCTAATTGTTTGTATGATGTCATTAAAATACAGATATGGAAGATCTGGTGACTGTGTCCAATGAAATCGAATTTCCCTGGACAAAATCTTTGAGGTACGTCAGATCCGAAGAAGAATCCACCAGCGAAAAACCAAATCATTTGTTGAATATGATGACTCAATCCGGAATCCCACTGATGATGAAATAAATATAGTGCAACTCGATAGGCTATTGGATATATCAACCACACATATACTGCTAATGTAGACGATAACTGCCAAATTCTTCTCACAAATGGGTAGGGTCTAGAATAACGTGTTTTAGATATAGAACAGCAAACAGTTACTAAAACACCTAAACAAACTCCTAACTCTACATCCCAGTGATGGGCCCATGTATCAACCATATCAGTATGAAGACAGTAAGCATAATGTAGCATGGTGCTACCCATACCATATAAACCTATGCCAGCATAATCTATCATAAAGCATGTATAGTGAATTGATTCTGATTTGTTAGAGAAACAATGAGCACAACTACTACAAATATATAATATAATCATAGTTAATAAGCTAGCTAATAAAGGCCACATATAAGGGTCATTGATAAAATCAAATTCTAGTGCCAGGCGGTAAGTTCGGTATAGAATTAACCATAATGCTATTAGGTGGGTCCACGTGTTCATACATTCATTATGAACCTGAAATACACTGAAGAAATAATAACTCCATGGTTGATGAAGGTGTCGAAATCCAGTCTCTACATGTGGTTCATGGAATAATTTTGGAACTTGGTCTTTGGAGGTAGTTGATGGAAAAGATTTCACTATTTTTTGGATGGGCATTCTGAACTGATAACTCGGGTATTTTGTTGACCTGAAATATAAATTATAATAAACAAAATAGAAATTATATGTACACAAAAAAGTTTACCACAAACTCTTTTTGAAAAACAGCACACTTCTAAGTTCCAATATATGAAACACCTAATACAGTTTAGGGTATTTTTTTAAAAATAGGCACAGTTCTAAGATATGAAACATCTTTCAGTCTAGGGTGCTCTTGATAATAGGCACAGTTCCAATATATGTTACACCTTTTAGTCAAGGGTGCTTCTTAAAAAAAAGGCAATGTCACAGTCATTTTCACAGAAAATTTGCCAACACTAAAGTCATATTTAGCTAAGTCACTTAAATGCCCTTCTTGCATTATATTTATTAAGTATACAATCCAAAAGCTATGAAAATCCATACCAATTAACTATATGTATCTATGCAGGCTACAGATATTCTGCAACTTTCATTGAACACATAAAATGGATGGGAACCAAAAGTCATATGAATCAATAAATTATGCAAGTTGAGCTGTCAATATACTAGACATTTAATATCCATTTAGATAGCAATTTATACTGTACAAGCCCTGCATTCTCAGATGTCTATTGAGACTAGGCTATCTATATATTTGATCTATATTGATAGCGTGGAGTCAATAACTATTAATTAATAAAACCTTGACTTCAAATTAAATAACCATTGACATTTAAAATAAGTATTAGAGGCCAAACTTCAGAGTTTTTAGACTATGAAGATGAAGATAAGATACCTGTCAAAGATACAATATGATCATATTGCCAATGTTTGCCAATTTTTTTACCACTCGTACCATAGTCTCAGAAATGAGAAATTTTGAGCTATCACATCAGTGTTCACAGCTCACTGCCGAAATTTGTGAATTTAAATCCATGTTTGTTCAGACAAATCCATGTTTGAAAGTTTAAATGACGAAGAAGAAAGTGAAATATCTAGTTTGAGGTAAATTCGAAAGTATTATGTGATTTTCCACACATTTCTTTTCTGCACCCCAGTTGTGCCCTTAGTCTCAGTAGCCTGACAGCCTCACTGATCAATTAGCACTCTTCCATTCAAATTGAAATATGTAGTAAATTCATACTACCATCCTAATTCCATTTTCAAGAAGTGGAATATTTCAACATCATCATTTTGTACATTCATGCTCAGGAAATGGAATATTCCAGTTCTGTCTGGCTTACAGTCAACATTTAATACATCTTTTATTACATTTCAATTTACTGAGAAATAATAAACATTAATAACATGTATAAAACATCATTTAATGTTTATAATCTTACTCAATTTGATGTTAAATAAATTCATAGAATGTATTTACAATTTGTTAGTCTTATATTCAAGGAAAAATCAGCGCAGTGAATTGGGTGCAGCAAAGTCATATTTTTGAGTGTTTGTACAAATGTACTGTAATTTCCAGTCGTGTACAACTTTGGATGAGACATAAAGGTAGACCTGTGTGTTGATGGATCTAAAGATAAGATCTTGAAAAGACAATGTTAAAGGGATAAATGCAGCATTTTGGGATGTAGATGAGAATTAAAAATATGCAAATAGTCTTCAGAAGTACTAGACATTGTACAAAAATTACAAAATTTCTTCAAATATATAAACTCAAACTAGGAATTTTGCTTATTATTTCTATATATCACAGAATATCTTAAAATGACAAATCATCATTTAACATTCAAAGGCAGATAATTCTGGACACACCTGAATTTGAAGTCTCAAATTTCTATGGTGAGCCGTGAACACTATTACTGATTGACTTAGATAAAAAAAAACCCCGTTTCTGAGACTTAAGTATGATTGGTCAAAAAGAATGTGCATCTGTCCCTTTAAGACTAATCTTGATTGTCCACAAGAAAATAATATAACCTTACAAAATCTAGTTATATACATGATCAATATATAGAATTTCTATTTGTACTGAAGACCTGATACAAGGTAGCAATATTGTGCTACTTGTCAATATTTGAAGGATTAAATAAGCCTGGAGGTAATTTGAGACTGTAACAAGCCACTTTAATCTGAGAGAAAGTAGGAAATATCCTCATTGATTTCTTGGAATTCTTTTTCCTATTTTCCTGTATTATCAATATATAGTTGATAAAATCAGTTCCACTTAAAAACATCTTTTAAGATTTTGTTTAAATGGCATTACAAACAGAAATATGGGATTTTTTTCTCTGGCCTTTTCAGGATATGCAGAGAGGATGGTCGATAGGTATATAAGAGCTTGCTGAATAAAATGTGACTTTTCTTGTTGGTCTCTTCCACAAAGCTTTATTACTAATTACTTAATAACTAGTATGGTTATTGCACTCATTTCAATGTCAATCTTTTTTCCTGCACTTAAAAAGCTGGGTTGATCAGTTATCTTACAAAAAAGCTCAGACAAAATCAAGTTTTTATGAAAAAAGAATATAATAAGCATTTATAAGCATACAATCTAATCCATTCTTTTATCATAATTTTGACTCAATTCAAGGTTCTATAGCGCAGTTGATTACGTCAAGCAAATGGAGGCTGTGGGTTCCAATCTTGATCGGCGTGTGAAAGTCTGATGACCTTGAATAAGTCATCTTCACTCATAATTCCAGTCAACCCAGCTGTAAATATGTAAGGATAATCCGGGAAACATCAATGCCAAGAGGTTTGGTCAAGGACCAGCCGGTAGAAAAGATCCTTAACAGTTAACCTAAGTTGTTATCCTTGTAAAATAGAGTTATTTCTTCTCTCTTTGTTTAATAACTAGATTTGCTGTATCTTACAAAGTAAACATGTGTAATGAATCAATCAATATATAATTTGTAATTAACTTAATCAAGTGAACCATTATGGTAACAGATTGTATATAATGATCTGTATAGAATTATAGGTTCAGTTCAATAATGTAACAGAACTATTTAATGATTTATACACAAGATTATTATCAATTTAACCATATTTATACAGATTTTTATATAAATTCAAAATAATTATATAGGCTTAAGTTCTGAAATCGAAAACATAACATGGCATAATTTTGAAATTTTGCATCTGTTTCATAAACCCCAAGTTTGCAAGATAAGGTTCAGATGCTTTTAGATGTTGTCAGTTGCCAACAGTTGTGAAAATCTAGATGCTCTCAGACTATTTTAGTCACAAACAAAGTTGATTGAGACTCTACTAAAGGGCATTTTCAGGGATGATATTGGTCTTAACTAAATAGTCTTCAAAAGTACGGTACCGGTACCAGAAATGTATGAAAATCGTATAATTCCGTAAACATTATTGTTGATTAGCTTAGAAAGGCTTAAAGAATATAAGCCTGAACAAAGAGACGAAATTGAATAATAAAAAGGTTGAATGCATACTGAATCAGCGGTCGTGATATTCATTTGAAAAAAGTTTGATGAATCTACTGAATATACAGGGTCAGGAAATTTAATAGAGAAATCAATAATAAGAGGAGAGATATGAATCAAGTAAATAATCAGTAGTCTCGCTAGTCCTATCTAACTGACTATATAATAGATTAATCAATATATTTAAACAATGGTGATCATTAATACAGGCTACAGCACAAACTGCCACCTGAATAAAATATTTGGCATTAAAATCTCTTTTCTTGTTATATCTAGAAACTTCTGCTGAATAGCCCATCAATTTGAATAAAAATGTATATAAACTGCTTATTACTCTAAAACAAGCAAATCAAATTTTCAATAACAAAATGTTTTCAAGACTAAGCATTGTAAAAAATGGCAAGGTAACAGACCTACGAGTTAAAGTTAAAAAATCCTAAGCCTAGTTGAAGCTAACATCAAATTCAAGTCATCATGCTTTATGGATGATAACTCATGAGTTTTTCTACCAAAAGATTATTCCAGGCAAACCCTGAATGGCTTGAACATGTCATGAACAATAGCTCACGTAAGCTTATGTATCCTACCATTTCTTATTTCTTTAATGTTGACAGGACAGAAACAGATCAAAATATAATTTAACCAGTATCAATCATAACTAAATTTTAACCAATTTATTACTTTGCATGCAGAGATAACAATTTTGTTTGTATTATTTCAACTGTAATTTGGAACATGTTAGAAAAGTTTTGTTTTTTTTTTGGGTAAAAAAATTATTTTGAGTGTGAAGCATTAAGGGCTACTTCAAATGGACCAAATAGTCTTAACTTCTCCCCAACTACATTGAGCTTTGAATTGAATTTTTTCTCCCATTTCATAAACAAGATACTTTCAACTGTATGCCATTTGTCTTAGTTCTAATGTCTTCTTTCCCAGAAAATTCATGTGAAAATAACCTACTTTTTGGACTGAAAATTGCCCTCTGTAAAATCACGTTTACAAATATAACTTTTCCAGTGATTAACATTTTCACCAACCCAAAAAATTGATATTTCAATTCAAATGATAGCCAAAATTCATTTCAGAGAGAAACAGTGTCATACAGAGAGTAGTCTTATCACTTTGAATATAAACTGGTCAATTGAACTTCGAATGAATTAAGAAGATAAAACGACTTGCAATAAAAACAAAGGTCTATTGCTGTGCAGTTTCTTGGGTGGAAAAACCGGTTAAAGTTAAACGGCATTTTACAGATACCTTCACATTAAATGTCCTGTTCAGATAGTGTTTGAGTCTGCTTGCCGGCATCATAAAGACAACATTCAACATAAAGAATATACCAGACTCTTATACCGTACCTGTCTTGGTTGATAATCTCCTTTGTCAATAATATGTTCTGTATGATGTTTAGTCTCTAATTCTATAGCATGGTTATCCACTTTCAGATTTGGAAACTGGCTGCTAATATTTTCATAATGTGACTGGTAGGCGGCGCTACAGACGGTGTTCACGCAACTTAACGTGCCGGAATTTAGATCCACTTGGTCAATAATATCCGCATGGAGCAAAATTAAATAGATTCCAATATTGTTATGATTATTATTAAAAGAAACTAAGCAAAATGGCTCAGTGTTCGATGTCAGTTTACTGTAAGCTGACGTTAACTATTCTAATGTGACCCCTACTGTGGTGGATATATAAAAATAAAAGCTTATAAAAAATGGGATGAAAGTTTGATCTGATTTGAAAGATACTGAAAAATATGATCAATGTTAAGACAATTTCAGAATTAAAAAAAACAAAACAAATCAATCTAAATATATTTTATTAGGATCATCACAATTTCACAAGGTGAAAACATAATACATGATTTGATCTAAAGTTGAAAATAAATAACAATTAATATATATATACCACAGCACTTATTTAAAACAATAACAAATTTTTACAATAGGCCTCCAAAACAAACCATCAGGATTTTATCAAATCATAGTCCAAGAAAACACTTTGAGAATTATAATACTAGTTTTCTTCATCAGAAACCTGGCCAGTACCAAGTTTGTTATTGAAAGCTTGATGCTGTAGAAGCTATTCAAATGTCAAATAGGCTTGTTTCAAAGACTATAAATACTCATTTCAATATGTTTAAAGGGACAAGTTCACCATCCGTTTGACCGAAGTCTCATAAACAAGAATTCTTTATCTAAGCTAATCAGTAATAGTGTTCATAGCTCACTGTTGGAATTTGAGCCACCAAATCTATGTGTGTCCACTGTCCAGAGTTATCAACATTCTCTATAAAAACTATATAGAAAAAGAAAGTGAAATTCCTAGTTTGAGGTATTTTTGAAGGAATTATGTGTACATTTCTAGAACTTCTGAAGGTTATTTGCATATATTCAAGACTCAAATCAACCCCCGAAAAATGGCAAACCTGTCCCTATATCTATAGCCAATAAGGAAGTTTTTAAAAATCTTTATGTTATTAATAGAAGTCAGTGAGTCATTCAGGCATTTATTTTTATGAAAATAGTTTTCAATTTCTCTGTTATCACTTTCATTAGATGTGTTTTAATAACATTGTCAACTAAATAGATAATTAACATGAATTCTTCCATTGTTTGATAAAGTACATACAAATATCATACAAAAATAACTGAACACATTATATCTTCTTATTCCAAAAAATTAGTCAGAATTAGTCAGAAAGAATTAATAGGGTTCACATTCATAAGTCAACACATAATTCTATGCAAAAATATCGTAAACAAACAACAACATGAAAAGGGTCATACTTAATTGTAAATTCACTAATTAATTCTGAACTATAAAAATTGAGTATGGTACAATATAAATGCATGGGAAGAGGTATGGCTCAGTCAGTTAGTTGAAGCCGCCTGTTTTCATTATAAAAAACATAAGTTATAGCTGGAAATATTTCTAAAATATGCTTTGTTAATTAAAACCAGAGAGTACTAATTCTTAAGTAAGCATCTTATAAAGATTTGATATTATTAGTTGAAACCTTTTGAATACATAGAAGACATATTTCTCTTGAATTTGGCCTTTATAATATTTAAATCTGTACAGTAGTTTTCTTACACCCACCAAAGAGTAAAATTTCTTCAAAAGTTTGAAATAGTTGAACTGCTTATAGTTTTCACCCATATGAGCAAAGAAAAATTCCGACCTACAAAAAAAAAAAGCCCCAAAGATGCAAAAGCCAGCTTAGTTGAAACCTGAAGCAATGTTGGCTTTCAAACAAGAAAAACCTATTGAAGTCTTTAACTTTTGAAATGGCTACAACTTAAATTTCAATTTCTAATCATATTCACATCAAAGTTTAGAACACAAGATGTTTAAATAATAAAAATATGTATATTACAAAGTAACAAAACAGTCAATTAAGTCTTTGAGTCAACTACCAACACGTTATCACCTTTTACCATTATCAATTTAATCATTTCTACAAAAAAAGTCAAATTTGAGACAACTTGCCAAATCCAACTGTATATAAGGGATATGTTAACTTACCAAATCTATTTATTAGCTGTTAAAAAAAGCTATCTCCCATTTCTTAAAAAATTGTTCAATAAAAATGCGTGAAAAAAAGTAAATTACATAAACAAATGCCACACACAGAAAAAGGATTTTCAGAAAAAAAGTTACAATTAAAATTCATTGCAAGTTTCATGTATATTTCAAAATTCTTTACATTTTGATCCTAAGATTCTATGAGAAACTTAAGTAACTGAGAGAAATCCCAACACAAAATCTTCTAGTATTTAGTCTTAACCTTTTGAAATGCAAATTTTTCATAAAATGCAATTACTCTAGGAATAAATATTTCGTTGAATAGATTATTTTGGTTCATTGATTTTTAGCATGATTTTGTAATAATTTCAGAATATTTAATGTTATTTCTTCAACTTTTGATGTTTTACTCCCATTTGCTAATAGATCATGAAGTTTTTCTGTTCCACCTTCTTCTTGCAGCAATGGACAATATCTTTTCTCTGAAAATTAGTTCAAAATATTTTTAAAATGAAACATTTCTATACCAAAAGTAAATCATATGCCAAATGCTTATTTGTTTTTTGCGAAAAAAAAAGTTCTGAAAATTTTGTCAAAGCAAGCTCATGTACCAAAACCTAGATATTGAGCTCTTAGTATCAACAAAATTCGCTCCCTTCAACACAAAGTATATCATGGTCTATATATATATATGGTCTTATCCATAGTTTTTAACAACCAACTGGACCTTTGTAGTTTCAAAAGTATAAGATATAGTTTCGTTTTCTTACCATTTTTAGTACAAACATGATTAATTGCCCAAACAGCCCATAACTGTACCGATGGTAAATCATGACATTCTAATAGTGGAAAAAATGGACTAAAAGACCTATAAAAGGAAAAAAAATTGTGTTTATTAAAGGAATACTACATCTTAGAATGAACATAAAATTGAGGAATTTAAAACTTGGCCAATAAGAGGATATATATTCATCAGTAGATATACCTGGCATCATAAATAACATAACCCTTATATAATCCGATAAATCCAAAAAACTTAGTAATTATCCATAAATATGCAATTAACTATTGAAAAACTCTTGCTATCAATATTATTAAATTAAGTGTTTTCATTTATGTTCATTCTAAGATGTAGTATGACTTTAAATAGAATATTTTCAGCAATCTTTCCAACTATCATACAACACTTGTTTGTTGAATTCACCACTGTTCCAAGAACATCTCTAAGTCTGCAGTTACTAAAGATATCTTTGGTCTCACTTAATTCTCATGAATAATTCATGACCTGTCCTTATTTATAGCATGATTGACTAATCAAAAGTATCGTAAAGAATTCACAGATATTTGAAGGTATATATTGATCAAGTGTCGAGTAATCCAAGAATTATAACAGTATGAAGGTAACATGACATTATGTCATTTATCATTAAAGTCTTACCTATAAGCCACCATTTCACCTTTAGGCTGCTCCCAATTTAAAACAACTTGACCCTATAAATAAATGAACATATATTCAACTCATCTGTCAATCATGTTTACATTGGTGGCATCATATATTAAAGATGCACATTCATAATCCATCCAGTCATTTATATCTTAGCCTATGAAATGGGATTGTTTAGTTAAGATTATTGGTAATATTGTGTACAGCATTAGATTAGGCCATTTTGGATTAGACGAATTTGAGTTGAAAAGGGTATTTTTTTCCATCTCAACAATAACTGAGAAAATGTCTTCTGTCTGGGGGCAGATTGACTCAATGGGGGACAGCTGCTGAGGCTGATCAAATTTTCAAACTCTGTGGTGGTGTCATAGTCACAAGCCGCTTATAGAGAGTCTTAGAGGGTTCTCTCAAGAAAATTTTAGAAAAAATAAATTGATTTTGTGCATTCTTAACACATATTTTGGAGAAAAAAGTTAGATATTTAGATTTGCAGAAAATAAAGTGGGGGTACAATTGAGCACCGCGCCGCCCCTCTATTGACTCTCACCAAATCAGCTGTTTTTATGTTCACAAAATTATGTGACATAAAACTGTGCAACATTGGTAAGTTTAGATACCTAACGTTCAAAGGTAAGAGATGTTAAAATATGAAAAGTTTACCAGTTTATCCAGAACTTCAGTACGTAATGTACAAGATATTGACCATGTATCCTCACCATCACTAGCTATATGAGCTACAATACCAGCAGCAAAATAACTCACATCAATATGTTCAGCTTCTAGCAGACGACTTGAAATAAAATACATCATTTTTACACAGTGAAATCTATATCTTCATATACAATTATCTATCTGAGATATTACATTTCATTGTAATTTATTTTCTACTAATAATTTCACTCTTCCTAAATATACCAGCCTTGTTTTTCAATTTAATATCAAAATACTTTTGATAAATGATTAATGCCAGGGAGGGCTTACAATGGAAGAAAAAAGTGAATATTACTCAAAAACAACCAAATTTAATACATACTTTGTAATCATTATGAAGTCTTCCCTCATCAATGCTTTTCTTAAAAACTTCACTTCAGCAATATTATTCTACAATAGGTAAAGAAAGTCTATAGCATCCTTACCTAAATTTGGTTGAGACAAAAATCCAAATATTATGAAATTTGCTTGAAGATCTACTGTATATTTTTTCTTATAGCAATCAAACTTGATCTTCACTAAAGTGTCCACAATTAAATAATACTAGAATGTAAAGTCTGAAGATATTATTTATGTATCTTACATTCATGTGATAGTCAATGAAATTAGACGAAAAACAAAAGTCTTACCAATAATCCGAGAATTTTAGTTTCAACTTGTACTCTATTGTCTGTTTCAATATTTCCAACCACCTATAAAACATAGACATGACATTTTCAGAGTCGGTAGAATAATGGATTGTGTGAAAATCAAAGGCAGGCCTTGACACTTTTCCCAAGTCAATTCTACCTGCATCTATGGAGGCCTATTTCATGAACACAAAGACTATTTTGACTCAAGTCATCTGATTGGTCAATTTGAGTCTAACTCTACATTTCAACTGTCTACATGTGTGATTCAAATTAGCCTAATGGAAATCTGTATGCAGTGTGCAATGTGGGACATTTCGTCAGTGATATAGAAAATCACACAAGTAAATAATGTTACCTGAAGTGTTGACATGAACAATTCTAAACCATTTTCTGATAAAAATACACGACAAGTTGGTGGTGATTCATCTGTTAAATTCCATAAACAACTCAGTGTAAATTTTAATGTAATATCTATACTCTGTGATTCCACCTTCTGTTTTACTAAACCTAATAACTTCTTCATATTCCGTGACTTAGCTCCTAATCTAGATGTTTCTTCTGTTGTAATCTGCAATAGAAATGGAAAGTTTGACTGCCTTCTCCTGTGAATATGAAAGTGGCGTTTCATTCATCCAAACCTCCTTAAATAAATAAATTTTGAATTCACAAGTCCTAATTAGTATTTAGGACAAAAAACCATCAAAACATCCTAAACTTAAATGGATATTACTTATGCCATGAATTTCCATACATATTTAGATGCTATGAGTGAAATGAAATGGGAGTTTCACATTCTATTCTCAAAATTTTCTACTTCCAATTGAGCTAAGGACGACAGCCAACATAGTGCAGTATACAATGAGGGCAACTCTGCCAACAAATGGTAGCATTTTCTGATTTCAAGCTGTTAAGTAAATGAATCTCCAATACTCACCTTAGCTGCTAAAATAGAACAAATAGCTACAGACATTCTGTTCATAGACTGATCTTCAAACGTACATAAACAATCCATTACTAACTTAGCACATCGAAATCTATCAAATGTCTACAAAAAACAACAGAATTGATAGAACTCAATCTAAGCTATCTGTACCACTTTTCAGAATGCAAACCAGCAACATATAATTAATAGACAACATATTGACTTATTTTGAAAAAGAAAGAGTTCACATGTGAAATCAATCATACTTAACACAGATAAAAACATGAGGATGCAGCGAAACCGCTGGTTCTTGATCACTTGTTGCTGATCTTTCTCAGATCATCCATACCCTTTTACAGCTGGGTGGACTGGAATAATGAGGAAAGATGACTTTTTCAGACTTTCAGAAGCCAACCGAGATGAAAAATAGTCTAACTTACCACATCTTGTAGAATTCTATCACTACATAGTGTTAATAAAGCATTCTTCTGTAACTGTAAAATAACATTACCATATTATATATAAGAAATAACAACAACAACGTGTATTTAGAAATCCTAAAAACTTGGTCAAGTATCTGTTAAGTTTTAATGATAAAAGTCTTTCTTCGTATGAATATTCAAACTGGTGTTCAGGTTTCAATAAAAATTCAAATAGATTTCGTTATTTTAAAGATATGGAGTCCTTTATTACTAATATTACTACAAATGATTGTAGTACTATTTCAAAATTAAGATAACCACTCTTGCAATTTCTATGCAATGTCAATATTTTTCGGTACTGTGCAAACCATTTACATATAGGTCTCCTGTCAATTAGGCATACAAACAAATGAAGAATTTGAATCAAATTTGAACACACTTAAAGTAAACCTACCTGTTGATGACTTGGATAATTTTCCATAGCTTGTAATGTTAATTCTACAATATCACGAAGACAAGCAGGGTGTATCTTTAAGCCTAATTCACTTTTAGACAAATTATACAGGCATGCTGTAGCAGCCATTTGAACATTTAATTCTTTAGGATGAGCTTTCATTGCAGGAATCACCAACTAAAATATTAAAATAATAATTTGAATTAACCACTGCTTTTAACTAAGTACCAAAAAAATTTTTTTTTTCTCTGAGAAAATAGAGATATAACACAAGCCAAGACTCGAAACTTTTTTTTTCTTTCTTTCTTTACATGGCTTTTTGACCAAATTTGGAATGCAATCAATCAAAATGAAGCAGAAAATATCATTATGGCTGCAACAATTCTTGAAGTTGCCATTTATTGTAGTAATTATCGCAATTATATATTTGAAAAGGAAAGAGAAAAAAAAGCAAAAATTTTTATAACATTTTTGTCACTATTTAGCATATCGTATGAGAACATTTAGACGTAACGAATTGGGAAAGAAAATTTTGGATTTTTGAAGTCAGAAATGCTTTATTTAAAATTTATGTTAAAATTATACTAAAAATCAAATCATAACATCATTTCTTATACACAAGGATTCTGTGTCATTTGTTATTGAAAGGGGATAAGAAATAATCATGCTGATACATTGTGATTTGTTTTATCCAGCGCAATGCATCAACAAATAGAAAAGAAAACCCGTTGGTGGATTTTTCGGTGAATTGTTGCTGCCCTACTGAATATATATATCACAGTTATTATTATAATACTTATAATAATACCAGCAGTAGAAAAATAAATCACCTTGATTATATCTTCCCTGGGCTCTGTCATATGTTGTGAAAAGCTAAATAATCTATACAGAGCTCTCTGCATATACATATATCTTGACACATAACGTTTCAAAGATTCTTTGATTTGTTTTTCATCAGCTTCACCTGTCACCTGTAATAAACAATACATGTGTCGATATGTGATAATAAAAACAAAGATAGCGCTATGAAAAACTTTGTCAAGCAATAAAACAAATGGACAAAATTTCATAATTCAATCAAAATCATGAGGTTTCAAAGATAAACCAATTTAATATATAAGCTTATAACGTATCTAATCTGAAAATAGATAAAAAAATTTGAATTTATTCTTCAGTCTTGGATAAATATGGGCCCTAAGAGAATTTATCAGCCAAATTTATTTACTGGTACCGTAATTTAAGTTTGTGAAAGTTTCTTGATATTTATAAATTTTAAATCTATCCAACAAAATACTTACCACAATTTCTTGTTTAAAGTCAGGAGATTCCAGCAGAAACATTGAATATTGACAAGTATGGGTTAAAGCTAAACCAAGGAAAGATAACTTGTTATGACTGTCCATATAATCTCTGAAAATAAGTATGAAGTTTGAAAACACTGATTGTTTGAATCAGAAACAGGGGAAACATAGTAACATTTAGGCATGGGGGCAGATTGCTAAAGACAACACTCAGAAGCATTAAACTTCTGTTACGGTGCAGGAACACGAGGGGTCTAGGTCAGAGAATTTTGTCGTCGATTAGAGTCAGTTTCAACAACTGGATGAGGAGACAAAAATCTCCAGTCGGTCGTTTTCCACCTCGTCAATAATCATGTGCAGAGCAGGCAATTGAAAGAAAACTGAATCTGATTGGATGATGACAGACTGTCATGCAGATGATTGGAGACAATTATCAAGCTTTTTTTCATATTATAAATATAATCTTGTCGTGGAAGCGCTGGCACACACAAGATTTTACTCAAGATTCGAGTCAGCGCCAAAAATCTCCGACCAAGGACAGCTTGTGTGCCTGCACCTTTACCAAATCAACTAAGTGAGTTGATATATCCAAGAATCATGGCTATCAATGCAAAAAACATTCTTGATTCCACCACCACTGGGCTCTAATCTGTATCACTTATTATAATGAAGAAATTACCTGAGTACATTTTCTGGAACATCATCTCTACCAGAGATATCTAATGATGATAAACCAGGATGACAATCTTTCTTCAATAATAACTGAGAAATTTCAAACTTTGTCTGAGGATAATTTACGAATTGAGGACCAGAAGAGTTTGAATTATTGACAGATACATCCAAATAGACAAGTTTATGGAGTTCACATAATATTGTCACCAGATCATCTGTGTTACTTATCACAAGATTATACATTGACAACATCTTCAATCGATCCTTACACTTTCGTAGCGGTGAAATATCGTTGATAGGTGTTCCTGATATATCGAGACATTCCAAACATGGCAAGTCTTCAGCAATTATTTCTAGACCATGTTTACTAAATTCTGTATTGCTTACGTTGAGAAAATGCAGAGTTCTGAGTTTGGAAAGAGAAACCACCACACAAAATTTAGCACTGTTAATGAAAGTACTATTACTAACATTGAGTAGTCGCAAGTTTGTCAAAGTCCATTCTCCTAGACAACCAATCAAATCATTAACAGTGACACTCTTCAAACCAGTGATTTCTAACTCTGATATCTTATGAGATTTAAAAATTCTCAATCCTTTAGTCGTCAGTGAAGCATCTTTAATTGATACATGCCTTAATGAGGTCACATTTGGTTGAAATATATTAATGGTGCTGTCATTCAATTTACCTTTGTCATTGAGCGTTTCTAGCAATTTTTCAGACAAATTACTGTGAAAAAACACATCAGGGTCTTTCAAAACATGTTTTGGTTGTGGGCATTCAGGTGATGACTGAATTTCACATAAGGAATCTAAATTATCACAAATATAGTCCACACAACACCCCTGTAAACTGACTGGTCTGTCATACATTTTGATCCTTTTAATCTTATCTCATCTGGAATAAAAAAAAAAATATAATAGATAAATGCAAGTTCTTTCTAAAACTAGATATATCATGTCAAAAGTCTCCTTTATACAGGAAGGCCTACTTTAATCTGAGAAACTCTGACACTGTCACTGACCCTGTAGGTCCTATGTGCTGTAAGGTTCAGGCAGTCCATGTCAATATCTCTACTACCTACAAGAGTCTATGCTATATAGTCTGTCAGACATAATAAAAAAAGACCAGGATTAGGAAAAGGCATGCAGTAGGTCTAGTAGTGATCTTATCTTCCCCATTCCATTTTCACGCAAGACATTGCTTTTCCCCTGTTACAAATTTCACCTTACTTATTATTTTAATCCTAATGATTTAGTCCTTACAAGCCTACAATATGTAAAGAAAGAATAGAAGATCTATATCACCATATTATATATGACAAAATAGTAGAGGAATTCATTTGACAATTTTGGATTTTCTACACCCCTTCCTCCTGGCCCTACTCTCCTCATTCTCCGTCTCACATTAAACACACTCTCGAAGTAAAACAATACAGGGAAATAATTAGGTGGTAGACAATTAAAAGAACCAAATTCATACCAGATTTTGACTGTCATAACGATGAAAAGGAAACTAAGTCGCATATTTTGTAGTCTGATGTAAATATAGATCAGTTCAATGTCCTGACAGTGTCGCTTTAATCGCTTTCCGGGGAGAGAACTCCTCATAAAAAGTCGAGGTCTATGGTGAATGTAAATTGCCTACATTCCTGTTGGTTTTTTATTAATTTTTCTGTTATCTTTATGAAGATGTTCCTTAAAACTAAGATGCAAATAAAAAATATTGAATATCGTATGGTGTCGCAGTAACGGAATTGGACCGTTGTCAGAATTAGGCTATATCGAGGGGGTATAGGCCTATTGCTCCCCCCCCCCCCCAAA